TGCTTAGGAAACATTTTATCAACTCTTTTTACCTAAAGAAGCCTTCCTATCTCCTCCATGGTTTAAAGATCCAGTGTGTTGGATTTGGGTGGATATATATTGGCCGAAATGGAGTATAATACAATAAATATGTTTTTCGTAATATCTGAAAATAATAACGGTTGTGTTTTCGTAATTTTCATATTTCTATAGTCGAACAGAATGGACAAACTAAACACTAGCTCCACATAGGGCCATTTGCATTTTTCGAGACAGCATAGTACTGCAATATTTTGTGTGGCAATATCATATCATATCATTACATGGACGCCAAGTATCGATAATATTATCATATAAATAAATACTATTACAAATGAAAAATAATCTTTTGGTAGTCTACCAAAATAGTATAATGAATTTCTTTTTCAGTCCAATAGATACATTTTGCTGCTGCAAAAGATGAAGTGAGATGAACAGATTGAAAACTTTATCTTATTAGATAAAACAGATGTTGATGAAGTTTTCTTTTGGGGACATAATTTACAGTTGAAAAAAGGGTTATGAATTGCAATATAATAAAAAAAAGACGTTATTGTGATACTCAGCATATCGCAATACATTTGAAATCACAATAATATTGCATTGTGACTTAGGTATCGTGGTAATATCATATTGTGGGGCCTCTGGTGATTCCCACCCCTAAAAAAACAAAATGTAGAACCTTTGCATTAAGGTTTTTACTCAAGGTCTTGACTGGTTTAAAAATGTAAGGAGTGAATGAATTGAGTCCTGTAAGTGTTGAATCCACAGCAGCTACTTTGGGAAACTAGACATGAACTTGAATAAGCTCATACGTTTGTAAAATCATGTATGAAAAGTAACAGTTTTATACTTACAAGTTTTGATCTGGAGCTGTTCAGTGTAGACTGGCTTTACAAAAGCCTCCTTAAAGAACCAAACAACATTGACCAGCCAGAGGAATGGAAGGAATGCAAAGCCACCTGAAAAAAATAAACAGATCAAAAAACACCATCACTGACAATACCACTGAATGTTACTACTTCATATGAGGGCAGATGTACTCAAGGTGCTCATACTTTGGTTTACACAAGACTCCCAGTCACTGTTAGCCTATCCTCACTCTCACATAAATATGATGCATCAGATCATTTTAACCTAAATGTACAACTTATTGAGGCAATACAGACAGTGCAGGGGCCTGTGGGGTGGGAAATAAGCCTGTGTTCAAAGAAGAATTCAAGGTAAATCAAAAATGGTGCGATTTTCTATATATGCCCTCAAAAAGGTAAACCCATCTCCATCATGGTTATCTGTTTTTTTTGTTGTTGGTTTTTTTTGTATTAATCCATAACAAAATTATAATTATTATATTATGTGATTATTCTACATGAACTATAAACAACTATAATTAAACTTATAATGTTCTATTTTCTTTCGTAGTTTTTGTCATATACAGATGTGTACTGCTGATTGCTGGGTAATTTGTGTGTTGGTGTCCAATATCTGCCTCTGTTTAATCATGCAACATCACGATATGATTTACAGTAGCTAGTTTAGGTGCAAATTCTCTCAAGAGTGACAAGCTGGGCACATCTGCAGGCAGATACAACATGAGAGTGGTAGCATGACACATTGTTGGTAAAACATATATACGTCTAGTAAGTCTGTGTGTACTTCATAACTAGTAACTAGGGAGCACTGGGGCCAATCATAACCACCTCACGCCACTGAAAACAGGTGTTAACACTACTTGCATGTACCCTGAATTTAAAAACCAAAAAGGAACAGTAAAGGTAAAATATAAAGATGTTTGTAAAGTCACTTCTGTCATGATTCACTTTTTAAGTACACTCACCTAAATAATATTTTCTGCACAGACTGAGTTTCTCCTCATTGGGCAGCCGTTCCAGGTTCATTGTGAATTAGTGTGGATCCTGCATCACAAAAAATAAAGTCAAGTTATAGTCCAAAACCATCTCCAAACAACCCAAAGACATGAAACTTTTGTGACAACGGCGATGCTTGTTATGTCTCCGTTTAAACCGCGAGCGTCTGGAGTTACTGGTCTAAACATGGCTACGTTAAGTAATCTCAAAGACACTATAAAATCCGAACAATAAAGCAGCCGGTGACCTGATTGAATTGTCAGATAACTCGGGAGGCACCTCAGGCTACCGTTAGCATTTCGTTAGCTTAGCACTGCAACAGTAGGTTGTTCCGACTGCTACAAATAGCCGTGGCTGTGACTTCAGTCGGTCCCCAGATTCTGGATGAAGTCTTTATCAATATTTCTATGGAACTAAAATAATTTACATGACTGTGGTAATTTACCTGGTATTGGTAAGGCCAAGAGAATCGTCGCAAAAAAAAAAAACTAAACAGACACAAAAATCACTTCCTCCTTCTTCTTCTACTGACTGCGAGATCACATTCTTCTTCGCCTGTCCCCTTTGTTGTAAATGGTAAGCATCCGCTAATCTGTACTGCATAGCGCCACCTGCTGTACCGGAGTGTGTGACTAAGCGGTTCACAGGTGGACGTGGTGTATCCTGAGGGTTAATAAATATAAGATATAGTAGATACTTCTGTTTAACAATTCTTTGATACTCAATTTACCTCTAATCTAAGCTTTTAGTAGTCTATGTTTCTTTTCATATATTTACATCCGGTGTAACAAAATCATCTTTCCTAAAAGTCCACTTAATGGCCTTTTCTAATGTTTTTGTGCAAAGCTTTGAAATAGCTTTGTGTTAAGGTGTTTAGTCACATATGCTCTTCCAAATCTGTTGTTTCCTTGTAGTAAAAAAAAAAAAATGCTGATCAAATCTGAAACATGGATGGCAATTAAGAGATCTGAACTGTGCCACTTTGAAAACAAAAACAGTAAATAAGTAAATAAATAAAATACTCCTACTCTAAAAGAGCTCATATTTTCTGGCAACATCAAATAATTAAAAATGAACAGATTTTGCTCTATTTATCATTGGCTATAATCTGTATTGCTCACCTTTATAAGGCTTCCACAGCCAGTTTATTCTGCAACAATATTTCCTTCTATTACATGAGCTGAATATTAACAAAATAAATCTACACTATATATTCCACTGATGATTATTTCTGCATGTTCCTTTCCTTCATCATGAGCTTCTTCTGCTGACGATAAAGAGGCATACTGCCATCTAATGTATTGCAATGTGAATAGCCTGGGCATACAGACCACCAAAATGTGGTAACTGTTTATCTTTATTTTCTGTTCTGCATTCTGTTTCCTCTGACAGAGGTTTATTGTGACCGGACTGATTAAAGATTAAACCTTCCTTTCCAAATGCTATGCCACTTGTATTATTAAATTAGAGATTATTTCAGAGCCACCTTCTGTTTCCTATCATGGGATCAACTTTAAATAAACAGGAGAAACTGCTAACCCCTTTCCCATCATCCTGAATAATTTAATACTCAAAACTCATAGAGACCTGCTTGATATTAAGGTGGTGATGTACTGTATGTTGTTTACAGAAATCAAGACACTCTCCTATTCCCAATTATAACTGTTCTGACTGTTGAACAGAATAATAAAGGCCTGCACTCAGTTGCCAGCTCTGTGATAAATGTACTTTCATGAAGTTTAAATTATCAGCTGCGTTAAAACTGTTTAAGAGAGGTACTGATGAACCTTTAAAGTGAATTTGGGGCTGTGTTAATGTATTATGTGATTGCATATACATGTCTGGAAAGTCTTGCAACATTTAACTCTCAATTTATGTTCTTTTTTTTTTAAAGATTATTTTTATTGGCTTTTTGCCTTTATTGACAGGACAGAGGGTGAAATGGGGAGACAGAGAGAGAGTGTGGACTGACATGCAGCAAAGGGCTGTGAGCCGGATTCGAGCCTGCGGCCACTGCAGCGAGGCAGTGCCTCTGTACATGGGGCGCTGGCACTATCCACTACGCTACCGACGCCCCCTCAATTTATGTTCTTTAAAAAATACATGTTTGTTATTATCAGGTGCACAATCATGGAGAGACAGTCGTTAGTGATGAAAATCATAATTGGAGGCTCCCTATGATGCTCATCATATAGGGATACTTATAGGGATAATAATTCTTTATTTGTCTGCATGATTTATTTTATTTTATTTTTGTTGTTATTATTTGTCTGTTTATCTGTCTGCAAAGTGTACTGAGCAAGTGGCTTTCTACCAGATAATTTCTTTCTTTTTTAAACTTTAATAAAGAGAAAAAAAAATCAAAAATAACATATAGGGATACAATATATATATATATATATATACATATATATATATATAAATTAGTGAATAGGTTTTGTTGTCGTCAGAGGAATTAAGATTCTTGCAAGCAAACATTAGACCTGTATCTATCTAGCATTTAGTGTTGGGAGAAGTTTGCCTGGAGGACTTTCTGTCAGAAAGTATTTTCTTGGTTAAGCTTTAGAGAGAAAAAGAAAATCATAGTTTGGGTGAAATTAAGATAATTCTGCCAGAAAGGCACATATGTGTCATATGCATATGTGTTTCCTCTGATAAAAAGATGAACGTGGCATGGTATGTTAAATATATTTTGCCTACATTATAAATTAATGCAGATAAGGCACAAATTGGTGCATAAAAATTCACCAAAATGCAGGAAAATTTAGTTTTTGAAGCTCAAATTGTCTGGTGGTGTTGCCCCCTATTTAATAGGCTATGTGCCCCCCCCCCCCACAAATGTTGAAACAAACCTTCACCCTTGCAGAAAGCTTTCTGACAGGCACTCTAGGTCAACTCCTCCCATGTGCGCAAAGTGACATAGTTTAAGATGTAGTCAGTCACACATTTCTGAATGGAGATTTGACGTACAATCACCACCAGAGGTCGACCCTGTTTCCCCTTCCATTGTAGCCTCGTTGAAAGAAAAAAACTCACTTTCCCGTGCTGCATTGCGGCTCCCCCCTCCCATCTCGCGCCTTCCCTCTTGTGTCTCCTCGAAGTGTTAGCCGTCGGTGTGTGTTGTTGTTGAAGCAATGATGGCGGCAGCGGGATGCGGATCAGCAACCGCGGCTGCCGTAGGAGGCCAAGGTGGAACCGCTACGGCCAGAGGTCGTTTCCCCGGTCGGCCTTGGTCGTCACGCAGTCGTTTGCGCTCCGAGAAGCGATGGCAACTCGGACGATCAGGCTTAGAAGCTGATGATGTGACTAACGGAGGGCCAAGGCCCGCAAACCTGGTTCTATCGTTAAACGAAGACCAGTCTCACTTGCGCTTACTTGGGATAGAGGCGAGCCACCAGACCCTTGGCCAGGCTGGATACAGCTCTAGTGGGAGTGAAGAGGTGAGGTCCCAAACCGAACCAGGAGTTAGTATCTTTATTTCATCTTCTCACATTTTGTGTGATTGTTAAATGTGTAAGAATGAGTGCTGTCCACAGCAGTGTGACTGGTTAGTACCATGGAGAAATGTCAACATCCTTTCGCTAGGCTAACGTTAACTTTAGCTTCATTTGTAGCAACATTTCATGCTAGCTAACGTTAGCCTAGTGTAGCTTTCCATGACATTTAATGAACAGCCGCAACACAAAATACAACTTTAGCAAAGCAGCAGGGAAGTTACATTAGCACTGTTCCCTCAACTATTACTATTATGTAATGTTAGGTGAAAATATTAGAGTGTGAAAACATGAGTAAAATATATTTTTTAAAGGAAGTGAGAGAGTACGCCAATTTGTAAACAGGCATCGTAATTATTTCATATATGGCCCGCTCGTTATCGGGCCAGAGTAGCAGTTAGCTAATAGTAGCGAACACAAAGAACGGGAGAGCTAGCGCCTCTGTACGCTTCACAGCGGCTAACGGCTAACTGTACTGTTTTCATACGCTGTCCAGATGCGGGCACAGTAGTCTGCTTAACTTGTTTGAATAAGACAGCACATACGGATCTTATAGGAACCTTCTCGTTGGCATACGTTTTAATTCTGGCTAGCTTTTCTGCAGACTGAAGTGGGTTTAAATGCTTTCGAGATGAGGAGATTGCTAACTGTTAGCTAATGATACCAAACACGACATGTTTAAATGGTGGTGCAGAAGTGTGCCAAAGCCAGTTGCACCCTCGTTGCTGGAACCGAAAGCTCACTATTACTATGTTACGCATGTAAGGGCACAAAGCTCGTTACAACACACATGCAACGTCAATCGTTAATGTATGCTCCTGATCTGAGCGGTTTGCAGGGTTCCGGGTCACAGCTGCAGGCATGTGGGAGATGTATAGTAGTTGGAGGGAATCGTAATTACAGACCTACCTTGCTGTGCAGTTGTTTGTAGGTAGTGTAGGAGTTCATCCTAACTGCTCCAGTGTGATTCATGCAAAGGTTGTAGAGTTCTGATCTTGCATGAGGTGGGATATACTCTAGTCTGTATGCAACTGCATCATAAAAAGTTCAGGAAGAGTTCCCCCTAGCAGTTAAATTGATTTCTGTTTGTTACTTATGCAGGACCTGTTCATGTTTAATGTATTACAACGTAGATGAGATGAATGAAAAGCGTTGGTTTGAATGTGAAGGTATGAAATCAATTGTCCATTGTTTGTCATTGATATAATTGATGTAATGTCTTAACCAAACCAATTTTTATTATTGTTTGATGTAGTTTTTGGTTCAAAATGCTAAGATAAATGTACTTTGTTATGTTAGGTTTATTGATAAAATCATTATGCAGGACATGAATCCATTCTTCATATAGAACTGTCAGTGTCATTTTCAGTGTTCCTCCATCTTCAGTGGATACAGCTAATGCCATGCTCTTGAATTCACAATGAATGCTGTAAACTAAAACACTAAAGTTATTGTTTTGCTGATGGTTTAGCAGCCTCCAGCAGAGGTGTTAACTTTGTCTCAAGTGTTAAATATCTGTTTTTACTTTTCAAGGGAGATGACTTCAGAGGATTTGAAGCTGAGAGAAAAAGCTTCAAAGGACCTGTATGGTCACGACAAAACCCTTCCAAAGGTAAGGAAAAATGTATCACTGTGTCATATTACACATTTATTGTAAGTTTTACACAGTACACACATTTAGACTAAGTATGTATCACAATATAATGTAGGATTGTTTTTGATTCCCAGTTTTGCATTCATTGGAGGAGCCATGAATTTTTTTGTAATATTTAAAATCTTTTTGTTTTGTAGGTGATGCTGTCAACACAAAATCTAAACGACAAAGTGAGAAGCTACCGCTTAAAACGCCAGCAGCAGACGCAGATATTACCCCACCTGATCCTGTAAAGGATGTAAAATCTTTGAAAGAAACGCATGGCTTAACTCCTGAAGCAGAGCCTGCAAAGGATCGCAGGAAAGGTTCAAAACGAAAAAACACTATGGATCGACAGTCCACTAAAAGCGGAGCCTCATCAGCAGCACCAAGGATTACTATTAAGTTGGTGGCCAAAAAGAAAATGAAAACCATAAAGGAGCCTCATAAAAAATCTGCTAAGAAGCTGAAGGTAAAAGGAATCGAGGATCAGCCTAAAGCCAAGGACATTCAGGGTGACCAGATTTCCAGTGCTCATGTCAAATTAAAAACTGAACCTCATGAGGATAAACATGGCACAGAAGATAAGGGAGGGGGGACTGTACCTGGAAGAAGGCGTGGGAGATCTGCTTCAAAGACAACAGAGCCAGTCTGCCAGACTGGCGCCAAAGTTGTGGTTGAAGACCAAAAATCAAAAGAGAGAAAATCAGCTGATCAACTTGACACTGTAAAGGAGAGCGAGGCTGTGGAGCCAAAAAGGAATGCAATGAAACTAAAGCATAAGGAAACTGTGTCAGACCAAGGTTCTGAAGTTAATCAGCAAGTCATTCGCAGAAGCAATAGAGTCACCACCCCACTGAGTAAAAAAGTCTCAGGCAGTGCAGCTGAACCAGAAAGTCTGAGTAAAAGTGATGCCCATCTGGTGGAGTCAAAGCCGGAAGTTTCTCAAACAGTGGAGACCAGGCCATCAGCGAGGAAGGACAGACGAAGGCAAAGCAAGAGGTTGAATAAGGATACTACAGTGCCAGAAAACCACGGCCCATCACCCACAGAGACTGATCATTTAGCTGCGCAATCCAAGGACAGTTTGCCTTTTAAAAATGAGGAAATGCGGGTCCCGAGTTTAAAGTTGAAGAAGATCAGAAATCCAAAATATGATCCACAGGGCAGTGGGAAGAACTCAACTCGAAAGAAAAAACAGAGAAAAAAATTTATCTGGACTTTAACATTAGTGAAGGGAGAAAGTCAGACACATAGTTCTGAAAACACTGTCAAAGTAACAGAGAAGACTGTGAGTGAAGTGGATCAGTCCACTTTTTTTGACACGAGTGTCAAGAAGAGTGTGATGGTGATGGATAAAAAATCAAAACCAGATAATTCAGCCCCACAGGAGAGTAAAAGCTTGGACAATAATGAGAAAAATTCCCAAAACAAGGCTGATGTGTCAGTTGAGGAAAAGTCCACTTTGCAGGTAGAAGTTGAAGTGGAACATGAAAATGAAACACCTCCTCAAGAAGTGACTAAAATGGATTGCGGGAAAATTCCACCTCTTCAGATCAAAAAGGTCTCCTCTCCTGGGAAACATAAAAGCTCAAAACCATCCTTTTTAATTCAGCAAGTTAGTCCTGTGTCTGAAAAGAAAGAGGATGTCCTGAAAGATCTAAGTGAAATTAGTGAGGATAAATCATCATGTCTGAATACTGAAGTCACACCAACCAGGAGACTAAGGAGGAGGACATTAAGCTTTGATTCACCACAAACAAAGTCTGTCAGTCAGAAGCCAGTGCCCACTCAGAAACGGAGGCTTAGAACGAGTTCACAGGATGAAGATACACAGCAGGTGCATGTCGAAGATTCCTTTCAGGCATCAACTGGAGATTCCAGCTCACATGGTCTTCCTAAAAACTCCATTCAGGATTTGGCTGAGGAACCCTCACTGATGACCAGTGTAAACTCCACTGAAGTTCCTCATGAGGATTCCTCAAAGATTGCTGAGGATTCCTCAAAGATCACCGAGGATTCCTCAAAGATTGCTGAGGATTCCTTAAGGGTCGCCAAGGATTCCTCAAATTACGCCAAGGATTCCTCAGAGATTGCTGAGGATTCTTCAAAGATCGCAGAGGATTCTTCAAAGATTGCAGAGGATTCCTCAAAGATCGCTGATGATTCCTCAAAGATCGCTGAGGATTCCGTAAAGATTGCAGAGGATTCCTTAAAGATTGCTGATGATCCCTCACCAGTGCCAGTTGAAGTTTCTCCACCAAATGTGGACAGTGAGGTAGAACCACAGATCAAAGAGGCCAAACCATTATCTGTGCCTTCTAAACCTAAAAGATGTAGAAATAATAAACTAGGGAAAAAGAGGTCTGTTCAAAGGAAGAAGCCTGTTGTTGTTCCTGAAACTGCTGTCAGTGCAGAGTTGGCTACAGTTGAAGCTACTATCGCAGATGTACTAAAGGAAGATGCTCAGCCTTTAGTAACAAAAGTCAGTCAGCCAGAAACAAAAGATTGCACCCAGCCTGAGGCAAAACAGGACAATGTGTCAGTGGAAGAAGAGCGGATACAGCTACTGGTAAAAGAGGAAACCGACATTCAGTTGATAGATAGTCAGCCAGCTTTGGTGGAAGAAAGTCAAGTAAGCGATCCAAAAACACTGTGCCTACAAAAGAAATCTCTGAAAAAAGTAAAAAAGAGGCGTAAAAGTTTGATTGGGCAGCGTCAGAAACACAGACACAGGGGCAGGGATGGGAAGTTTGCTCCACTTAAAATATCTGAAAGTCAGAAAATTGTTGAGGGGGACAGTGATATTTCCACTTCATTGGCAGCTATTACACCGACCCCAAGCCCCAAACTTATTGGAGTACAAAAAAAGTGCAAAAAAAGACTCACAGGACTTCATTTTCTTGGGTCGAAAAGGCCAAAACCACAGTCTAAAATCATTACTAAACTGATGGAAATGGGGCTTGACAATGAAGGTTTGAAGCAGGAGGAAACAGACACATTAGTTGATGGAGGACGAGCAGATGTTGTAGATGCCCAGCCTGGTAAATCAAAGTTTGTGAAAAACATCAAGCACTTCATTATGCCTGTTGTAAGTGCCAGATCCTCACGAGTGATCAAGACCCCGCAAAGGTTCATGGATGATGCTGGAATGTCGGTATTGCCTCGAAGAAACTCACCAAAGAAGGGTTTACAATTGGGCTTGCAGATGCGCCCCGTAAAGAGGCGAGATGACGGGATGGGCAGAGCAATATCCCCTATCCTGCCGGTTGACGAGGAGGACATTTTGAGTGAAGCTCAACTGGATGTCGATCTGTTTTCAGCTCAGGACCTTGATGACGACATTGACATAGCTGACAGCCTATTTTCAGAGAAAAAAAGTGGCAAAATTGAAAAGAAGAAGTCTCTAAAGAACTCTGCTTTCAAGTGGCAGTTGCCAGAAGAGTCGCTAGAGGACGTGTATACACTGGACAAAACCTCAGAGGACAAATATGAGGATCTGTTTCTATCTACACCAGTTGATAAGCCCACAGATCTATCTACTGACCTCCTGGATGCCCAGAAAAAGAAAAATTCCCCTAAGTTCAATAAACAAGCGGCTCACCTCAAGATTTATCAAAGGCTAAAGAAGGCACACACGGGTCTTCCAAAAAGCAAGACCACAACAGAGACGGATAGTGTGAGCAAACCTCTTCAGCCTCCAGTTGATTTAGCAGAAGGACTTGATGATGAGGCCATGAGCATCAGCCTTAGGCAGCGGAATACAAATGCAGAAAAGGGCAAATCCAAGCTTAAGATAGAAGACCTTGATTCTCCTGGAGTGGTGAGAAAAGTTTCTGTGTGTGTTAGAACTATGAACTCCAAGTCTAGTGCATTTCAGCACGGAAAAGAGGAGGGTTTAGCAGGGAAAGACACTGCCCAGCATCACTCAGGTAAGCAAAATTATTTAAATAGCATTGATAAATCTAATGGTCAGCAAACAGCATTAGCTTTATTTACTTAGAATGGACCAGAAATTAGCACGTATTACTTTATATCCACAGGAGAGCTGCAGTCAGAAAAGAACTCAGGCGCAGGTGAAGGCGGTTTTCCTGGATCTGTGGAGAAGGGAGCTTCACAAAGAGCGCGCCTCACCGGTGCAAATAAAAGAATGTTTAATCTCCTCAGGAAAGCCAAGGTCCAACTCATCAAGATTGACCAGCAGAAACAGCTTAAATCATCTGGGGTAATGCCATGATCACCACACAAACATCATCTCTGTCATTGTACACCAATTTTTCATTGTTAGATAAAGTCTATGTAATAGGACCTGTCATAGATGAGGGAAACCTCCACGGGTGTTTTGAATGACCCAGGGAGATTTGTTTTAGTTTTCTGAAGCTTGTATTGATGACTTGTTTTTGCCTCTTAACCCTGTAGTTGTTATCTGGCCCGACTGGCGCCAGGTCTCGAGACGTGACCTCTAAGAGGCAAAGGAGGAAACAAAAGGTTAAGCTTGATGCTGATGTTCCAGTCAAGATAGAACCACCTCAAGGACAAGTAAGTGTGCAAATCAATAGCCCTGAGGCAGAAGTCGATCCGAATACAAATCTTGTGTCTGTCTCTGGTTTTACCGGTTCATTATTGTTGATCAGCCTTTCGCTGTAATTGCAAACTTAGCATGAACAAACATGCTCTGTCTCAGTATACTTTACTGAGATGCATGACCAATGATTTAGATTTGGAAAAAAAATCCTCTGTCAATTCAAGCCTCTTTACATCAGTGCCTACATGTTGATCTGATTTTTATATTTTCATTTCTCCAGCCGCAGCTCATCTCCCCGCTGTGTCAGGAGTTCCGTAGAGCAGGAGGTCCACGCATCAAGCATGTGTGTCGTGCTGCATCCGTGGTGCTGGGGCAGCCTCGAGCCTTGGTACCAGATGACATTCCCAGACTGAGTGCTTTGCCTCTGCATGAAAGAACTGGCATTTCCCCTTCAGCCATCCCTAAAGGTAGGTGTAAACTGAGTGGCAGACCAATTCATTTTCATTAGATATGCTCTTAAAACTTCTCACAATTGACTGTGATGACTTGCCAGCAGCAACAGCAGTAGCAGTAATAGACATGGTGATAGTAATAGTTTCAACTTCCCAATCCTGGCAGAGGACGGAGTAATAGAGGAACATGTCTTTTAGCAGATGGATGCATAGTATTGGAATAATTTATGATCAGTGTAATATTTGGATTGTTACACCCCTGCTCTTAGCTGTCTATGCCCATCAGACCATCATTTTGATATTTGTCAGTTTGCATTTTCATCAATTTATCTGTTTTGTGTGGTTCTATAAACGCAGCATTTGTGAGTTTGTGGTCGAATTGATCAAAGGTGATTTGATCAGTGGTTTTGAGGTATAGCTGCTGTAGAGGCGACTGAAAGCAAACTTTTAGACCCAGCGCTGGACCACAGGATGCACAGTTTCCATGCCACATAGCCGAGAGCTTTGATTGGGCCCTAGAATCAGGCAAGTGTCTACATAAACCTGCACTGCCTCTGTCCAAGCCAAATCTGAGCCTGAACCAAGGCAGCAAAAAAAAAAAAAAAAGGCTGATTTGTTTCCTCGCACCACTTCTCCTTCTTCTCTTCCTTTTGTTATTTCAATAGTCTGTGATCGGCTCTGAGTTTGGCATACAACGGGCTGCGCCCCTTGGTGCGTTTCTGTTTTCCATTGCGCATAGCGATGCAGTGTGCAGATGATCATCACCATTCTTTGCTGCATGTTATGCACATCTCTCTCATTGCTGGGAAGGCAGAAGCAAACATTGCCAACGTAATTAATGATAATAATGTATTTCATTTTATAGGCACCTTTCAGAGCACTCAAGGACACCTTACAAGAAATGGTTAAAAAAAACAAACAGCAGTGTATCCGTTGATCATAAAATAAAACAATTCCGTAATATACATTAAAAGTTGATAAAATGACTAAACATGCAGAACCCCTCTCTCTCTTTCTTTCTCTCGTTTTCCATCCCTCTCTCAAGCACACTCAGTCTCTCTCTACTATATTGCTGTTGTTCCTTCACTCTACCTCTATCTACCGCAGTCCCCACCTCTTTCTCTCTATTTCTCTCTTGATCAAGTCCAATGCAACTCCTGCCATTTATGTTCAAGAACTGCATGTCCCTTAAAAAAGAGCACTGTTTAATTGGTGAGAACCCCACCTAATTCAACAGTGAGAAATTACAGCCCAGCCCCGCCTGAACCCAGCAGGTCGGGTGGGGCTGGGCTGTAATTTCATCTGAAGTAGGCTCGAAAAATGATGGACAACACGAAAATGGGAGTATCATTGTTCTAGTAAATAAAGTGTTCTATCTCTATATAAACAGCCAAGTTTCACTTTAACTGTGCCAGACTTCTACTGCTCCATTTGTGCCCAGAGTAGGCTCTGCGCTCCGAGAGTGTGGTGCTCTGAATAACCAAACGGCACATATTCCAACGGCACTCTGAATGAACGGTCCAGCTCCAAAAATAGAAACTCAATACGCGGCAGCAAAAGCTGATATTGCCACCACAGATAAATGTATATGTGGGAAACCCTGGAATGCAAATTAAAGGACTTCAATAAATTGAGCTCTATTTAATTGATGATTATTTAAAATGGTTACTTTACAGTTGGCTTATTGCTGAAACCTTCGTCCTGTCAGTGCTGCTGTTCCAGAGATTAGATTTGACCAATGGATGAATGTCTATTTTTGTTGCAGATATTGGGTCTCCCTCTGAATCAGACAGTCCCGGGCTGTCAGATCCTAAGGTCACCAAGGTCAAGAAGCCGTCGAACTTTGTGAAACGGAAAGGACTCGGGCCATTTGGATATCGCTCACGGAGGTGTGGAGTATGCAAAGGCTGCAACCACGAGGATGATTGTGGCAAGTGCATGAACTGCCTCGACAAACCCAAGTTTGGTGGTCCCAATACCAAACGGCAGTGTTGCGTGTAAGTTGATCTTTATTTAATTCTTAGTTGTAGTGGAGCTCATCGCTTTGTTTAAAAATAATTTAAAATCTGTTTGTTTTTTTACCACTAGGTATAAGAGATGTGATCAAATTGAGGAGAGAAAAGCACGCAGACTAAGTGGGAGGACAGCACCCAAAGGTAATTTTGTGCTTCAGTGGGCGACGCTTCATGTTGCTGTAATGCTTCCAGAGCATTTAACATGTCAGCTACATACCGCCTCTTTTTATTTTAAGGTGCCTCCAAGCGACGGCGATCCTCTCTCAGCGGGGGTCATTCAAGTAATGATGAAGGGAACGAGGGTGCTGTGGACTCACCATCTGGTCTTCAGGGCGACGGTCACAGTCCATCGGTAAGGAAGCAGCCAAAGCGTGTTGTGAAGCCTCGCGTCTACTTTGACCTGGTGGACTACGACTCCGATCTCGATGACAAAGCTTTTTCAAGCTCTGCCTCGCCAGCCAGGAGAAGGGGCACTGGATCCCGTTTTAGTCAAGGTAAAGTAACATTCAGAAACTGGACGACGTATGTAGAAGCTTTTTTCATGAGCTGAATGATTATTTTTATTCTTAACGCCAAAGATAATCTGTCTTTGCAAACACATTTCTTTACAATATATATTTCAAGCTTTCTGATGTGCCTCCTAATAATAGATTTTGTTTTTCTTCTACCTTCTAAAGACTTTGTGTCGTTGGATGGATTCCTTGGAGACATTTCAGATGAAGAAGTCAGGCATCGAAAGTCCAGTTCACACCGTGTACCGCCTGTTCGACGTAAACCTGAGAAGGTGGGTACTTCTAAATTTGATCAGTGCTGATGCCCTGGTTGGCTTACACAACCTGCATTAGTCGCATGTGTTTTGGGCTTGATTTGCTCTTTCACACAATAATTTCCTGTGCAAAAATGTGTGCTGGCAAGCAGAGGCACACTGTGTTGATCAATCCCAAATAACAACATAATGTCACATTTCTATGACACCAAGCTGCCAATTTTATCTTTGAGAACGCGCCAAATGCAGCATTTGTATACTGCCGGCTTTTGGCATGTTGTAGCTGAGAAACCCTCTCATTCCTCCCTGTTCTTTTTTGCAAAATCCAGGATGTGTGGTCTATTTCTGCAGCTTTGTTTTTCCAGAATAAATGTGTGCACTGTTAGTAGGCTGTAGTTCCAGTTCTTGTTTAGCCACTCCTAACTAAAGCCTTGTTCGCAGGGGACTAGTATTACCAGGGGACCTCATGTGATTTAGAAATTACGCCCCCACGCCTGTGTTTCTTGTGGCGCATTCACACGCTACAAGCAAAATCTGTATTTTAATCGAATTTACTGACATTATCTCCTGAATATGATGCGTCATTTGTAACTCCACTCTACACAACACAGAAGCACTACACAGCACTGCCAGCATTAATGTAGAGTGTTAACCTCTTTTCTGACTTTAAAATGTGCCCTCCACATCATTTCAATCTGAATCTGAGCACTCTGTCACATCTGTTCCACATAAAGAATGATCAGATTCAAGCTTCATACATATTGGTGTGAAAAGAGATTACATCACACTGGGCCACCTAAAGTGCGCCGTAGGCTGTGTCAGCTGATTTCATAGCTGATGTGCACCTCATCAAAAGTGTAACCACACTTCAAGGCTCCAGAGGTAATGGAGATGTCAAGTGTGGAACATGAGCACTGTAATTAACCCTTCACTAAGCCTTGCCCCTTTCTGATGTTCCGTCAAGCTGTCAGAGCTAGTGTGGTACCCATACTGTCAAACTGCAATCCCTGAAGTTATATTAAATCTTTGGATAAACGGTTAAGCAGTTTCAGAGAGAAGCAGGTGATAGGGTCTATAATGTGTTTGAAGGATCTGGAATGTTGAAGTGACTCAGTGGCAAAAACAGGTTAAAAAGATAATGGTAGAAGCTAAAACCTACAGATTACAGTGTAAAAGTGAACCACCACGTGACCTGGTGATTGAAACTGAAGAAACTTTCAGACTGCTCTTTGTCATCACAGTGTGTGCAGATGCTGTGTTTGGCTTCCCCCTGTGCTCTGAGCTCTGGGGGAAGCCGGACACAGTTCATCTGGACACACTGCGACAACAGAGCTGGTTGAAAATCAGCAAAGTATCCCTGTTTCATTTCACTGTTCCTGTAAAGCAGAGTTGGTCTTCATTCACTGTGACAATCATTAAAAAGCAAAAGCAGCATGTGTGTACATTCAGTAAACCTTCAGTAGCCAGCTAGCTAACCCTACACGTGTCAGGATTTGATTTTTGGTTTTGCAACAGGGAAGAATCCTTCCAACCTCTCCAACAAGTGTCACTATTAAATGTACCTCATGAACAGTATATAACCATGACGTGCTGGAAATTCACAATACCAGTCTGAAAATAAAGAAAGTCTGCATGAGAGTCAATGGAGCATAGCCTTATGGTTGTTGGACGCTGGTCGGAGCCAGGGAGGGTAAAAAGAGGAGAAGTCACAGCGTCATATTGCATCAAATCATTGAGGTATAGCACATAAGCAGTAAAAGCTGGTCTGCACTTGCCAAAAGGCTCAATAGCTGGCTCACTATCGCAAACATTGGGATGATGGATCCGTTTCATTGAGGCGGCCGCTGTTGACCTTGAGATGGCACATAGTTTATTCAAAAAAGCTGACACCCTCCCTTTACTTCTAGCACAGTTTGCTGTAACCCTCCAACATGGCAGCTGCAGTTATATTGCACATGTGTAATACTCCATAGCTCCCGAGGGGTCGGAGAGCATGTCACAGCCTTCATTTAATTGCCCTGGTCGGAGCTGCTTGAGTTTTCTCCCACAAGCATCTGATGCCGGGTGAGATTGTTGACAGAAAACAGCATCAAGGAAGTTAAAGAAAGACTCTGTCATCTTTTAAATAACACTCTAGCAAAACACTCCGCTGCAAACCCTCTGACTGCAGTCAGAATTATGAGAATGAACATTAACACGGCAATTGCACTGCAGTAATCACCTATTCAGTCATGAGACAAGGCAATAAAGATGTTTCCTGGATGTTAATCCAGTTCTATGAGTACACTATAATAGCCCACTGTTGCTTTAAATCACAAAGTTAATGAAAGAATGTAAAAACAGTTACTCTGAATAATATAATTAAAGCCAATGTGGCTTAATCACAGACGCAGTGCATCTATGGTAGCCATTAGAATGTGCAGGGAAAAGTAAGTACATTAACGCTTTAAGTGCGTCCATTTCTGCCCACATTCATGTTATGGTTGTCCCTCAGGGTCTGTCATCTCAGGGTCCTTTGGAGCAGACTCCTCCCAGTGTCCTGGCTGCCCTGGCCCATGGATATGAGCAGAGAGAGGCTGAGTCTTCGAAACCTACTCATAAAATCAGGGTTGACTTCAAGGTAGGTCACTTTGCTTTGCAGTACAGCACATGCATTGTAATAAAAAACATTTCTTAAATGATGATATTAATTTCCTGTTTGGATGTACAGATATATGATGTACAATGATTGTTGTCAAACATTTGAACATATTTGACTTTGTCATTATTATTAATTACACAAAGTTCTTCTCAGAGTGTCTAACACAAAGTCTCTCATGTAGCTATTGTGATTTAGAAGTTCACATAGCATTATTATTTTTGTCCACTAGAGGTCAGTGTTTGATAGTTAATTATATGTGTCAACCCATCTCCTTCATGACGCATTATAACCTCAGAACATTTCAACACATACGATCATGTAAAAAAAAAAAAACATACAGTTGACCTTACCACCAGAACTTAAAATACAAACCCAATCCTCACATAGTCACCCCATTGAAACAACAACATATATTGGTCGGCAGACGTAGTGTCATGCTGGTAACTACAATGCACAGTATTTTCTCAGCTGGTAACTGAGATGTGTACACTCTGTCTTTATATCAGGAGGACTGTACTCTGGAAAACGTCTGGAATATGGGTGGTTTGAGTATATTGACCTCTGCACCGCTTATGCCACCCTATGTCTGCTTCCTTTGTGCCAGTAAAGGGCAACATGAGGTAACTACTTCAAAACTTTGCTCTTATTTAATAGAAATCTGTCTCTTTATCCTTCTTAAATTTGTGTTAATGTGGTGATGGACATGGTTGTTGTCTAAAACATATCACCAAATGATGCAGATGAAAAAAACATGAATCTCTTTATAGCAGGTGTTTATATAGTTTGAGGGCAATTTTGTAAGTTTAAATTGTTTTTGTTAATTTCTTTTTGCAGATGCTGTATTGCCAAGTATGCTGTGAGCCCTTCCACCAGTTTTGCCTTGAACCAGCTGATCGCCCCTCCGAGGAGAACAAAGAAAACTGGTGCTGCCGTCGCTGCAAGTTTTGTCACGTGTGTGGCAGGAAAAATAAGCACTCAAAGGTATGGACTGCTACTATGACTTGATTTGCTATATTTTACATCTTATTGTTAATTTAGACATTCAGGGTTATGCTGGGTTCACACTAGATGCGGAAGTGTGGCAAAGCATGGGGATTTTTCATGAAGCGCTGTCTGCTTGCTTTCGGTCCCCATGTTAAGCAGTTGGACCGTTTACACTGAACATGCGGTGGCCCAAGCTCCGCAGCCGGGCTCACAATCTGCAGTGATAAGTTTTGCCGTCTGGTCTTTTTTTCCACGATCCACAAGCAAATCTGGCAAGAAATCACACTGATAATCCTGATAATCTATTATGAACAATATAAAGGATTTATTATATAATATGAATTATCAGATTTCTACCGGTTATAGAATATGCATCTCATGCTCACTTATTCCCAATATTTATCAGTTGTGTATAAACAGACAGCGAGGGAGTGAAGCAGACACACTCACACACACAAGTAGACATATGTGTGATTAGAAAAGAGCAGTGGAGCAGAACCGCTTGGTGACCGACATGAAGAAATGCGCTTTTGGTGTGAACAGCCATGTGACTGCTGATTGGGTGGCTGTATGACGCTTGATATATCAGGGTGCTTCTGTAGCCAGTGTGAACATGGCTTTACACTTTTTATGTCTCCCTCAGCCATTGTTGGAGTGTGAACGTTGCCAGAACTGTTATCATCCTTCGTGTCTGGGGCCTAACTATCCAAAGCAAAACAAGAAGAGGAAAGCTTGGGTAGGTTCATGTTTCTCAGAAAACACAAAGTCATGTGTGTTTACTATAAACACACTGAGGTTAGCGTACGTTAACTGCTGGTCCTAATATGCTGGTTTCTCTGCAGGTTTGTATGACATGTATCAGGTGTAAAAGCTGTGGCGTCACACCAGGGAAGAGTTGGGACACTGACTGGAACCATGAAAAAGGACTTTGTCCAGACTGTTCAAAACTCTATGAACTGGGTGAGGGGAGAATCGATCAATGATCTGTCAGCTACTTTATTAACTTCCAACATTAGCGGTCTATGTCAAGGCTAATCTTTTCTGAATGCCTCCCTCTCTCAGGTAACTACTGTCCGATCTGCTTCAAGTGCTATGAGGACAATGACTATGACAGTCAGATGATGCAGTGTGGCACATGTAACCACTGGGTACATGCCAAGTGTGAGGATCTAACAGGTAACTTTTATTCTGATGAGTACCCTGAGTCTTGAAACAAAACAAAGGACATCAGAATAACAAAAAATGAAGTCAGCAGTAAGAAGCAAAAGCTCAAATGGGCATATCTAGTACCTAATAGTCAAATATCCATTCTTACTTATTACCTAACTGCTGACCGTTCATACAAAGCCCTGCTTCACATATGTGGCAGGTGCACATGATCTAGTGGAAAAAATCTGTAGGTATGTTAACATAATGTAGTTAGAAATGCTAAACTCCTTCCTCCTTTAAACTAATTTCAGATGAGCTATATGAGATCCTGTCCAGTTTGCCAGAGAGTGTGGTGTACTCATGTCGGCCATGCAGTGTGACCCAGCCCAGTGCCTGGAGAGAGCTGCTCTACATTGAGCTCAGAGCCGGGGTGGAGAAGGTGCTGGCTTGCTTGCTATCCTCCACCCTTACCCAGCACCTTGTTGCCTGCTCACAGGTGAGAGACTCAGACAATTACAACAGTCACATAATGTGTTTATGTCAGTTTGCTTGTTAATGTTCACTGGATTTTAAGTATTGTTTGTATTAGTACTGATGCAGTACTGAACCCTGTGAAATGCAGTGCGTGATACATGCTTTGGTTTCTGCTGCAGTGTGAAAAGTTGGTTGATCCTGACAGTGGAATTGAAGGACAGCCAGCCTGTGACCTCCGAGCTGTAGGCAAGAAGTTTGACAAAGGCCTTTATACCACGTTGGTGAGTACACAACCTCGTATTCAGTGTCTGATCACTTGAGTGAAGTGGACAAAACTCTTTGAATTTTGAGGCTTTGTGGACATTAACTTATAAATTTTAGTAAGAACTGAGAGATTCCTTTGAGGCAAGAAAACAGAAAATGCCAGTATGCTTGGAATATTCCTCTTAAGTTTTGCCTTAGCAAATACATTTTTCACAGTCAGTAGTTTTTGATCCTGTACACCTCAAGATCCAGATACACCAAACCAATGTTGGAGAACTAGCAGTAACAAGAGCCCCCATGCTGTGTCGCCTCTCGTTGCTCTGTCCCAGCCAAAAAGTTGCACATGAACACACCAAAGCAATGGCCAACAAGCACATATGTTCGGCGCCTGTGCGAGTGGACATACCCCTCCATACCAGCAGACTGCAGTCATCTGTAATTGGCATTCATAAAGGGAAACCGGACGACTGTCGTGATGTTAGTTAGCCAGTTAGCATATTAACAACACAATGTTGAAAGAACAAAGCATATTTACCATGCACCAGTGAACAATAACCCAAAGAATCACAAAACTTTTCTGCTAAAGAGTCCAATGACTAAAGAAAAATTGTATTACCTTAAGTAACAAGTTTGTTTCGATCTCACTCCCTCTCAGCTTTAGCTTTTTGTTTACATTCCTCACGTCCATTTCACTCCGGCTCACAACCATTTGCTGCATGTCATCCCCCCACTCTCTCACTCCCCCATTTTACTCTCTTGTCAATTAAAGACAAAAGCCCCAAAAAAATCTAAAAAAAAAAAAAAAAGAAAGAAAGAAAGTCCTCCTAGTACCACCGAGGGCTAACAAGGGTGGCAGACGCTCACCAATGTCCCAGCTTTAACCGACAGCTGACTATTAGCTTGGTGTGTCAGGGGTAAAACTTCTTGATATGCCAGAACTCCAGCCACAGGAAAACTCAGGAGCTCAGACAATATGTCACTTAAAACAAAATTTAAAAAAAAAAAAAAAAGAATAAACTTGTAGCTTAAAAGTAAGCCACTTGTGATTTTTAAAGGTAAGTCTAAGATCAGCCGACGGCCCCTCCTCTATGTGATCACAGGCCTCCAACAGTATTCTGCATCTAGTTGCTGTTCTGCAAGCCATCACGTCTCTACAGTGGTAAGAAAACTAAAATAAGGCATGTGTCCAACATGTCTTTTTTCTTTGGCAGAAACATGGTGACAGGGCACTGGTGAGCGCTTTATCCCAGCGCTTCTTAAAAGAATCGCTCATAGTGCTTATTTTAATGACGCACTGTGGTTTGTTCATATGAAATCAATATCTAGACATTAACGTTAACTGGGTAGCTAACCTAATGCTATGTTAACAGAGGGTTAACCTCATAGTTAACAATAAGCTTACAACACGTACGATGATAGAAGCACAACACTCACCATCAACATTTAGTGTCCAACCGATCTGCTACCATAAATGGGCTTGTCTGTCTTGTTTTGATTTTCAACTTGGGATAGACAATAGCTAAAGTAGAGGCAGTAACGTCACTAGCGCCTTTCTGGAAGTTCAGAGATTTTATCCGAGAAGCACTCAAAGCAGCTGCACAAAAAATGTAACGTGTTCTGAGAAAAGACGCTGGGCACACCGCTTTGTTTCTTGGTGGCCACATTGGGCCACATACGCTCTCTTCTTATTGGGAAGATCTGAGAAAAGACGCTAGTGCCCAGAAAGAAAATGCTACGTGGACACAGGCCTATGTGTCACTTAATGAATACTCAAAATAATGTTTGTTTTTTATAGAAAATGTTCCATGAAGATGTGGTTCAGGTGGTGCGAAAGAGGCTTGAGCAAGAGGAGGATCTTCCAGAGGAGCAGAGACCAACTGCCTTGGCACGCTCTTACTACTTAAAGGTGCTGTATGATCACAAAAAAGTAGTGCAGAGATTACTGAGAAGTGTCTGTAAACACATTATTTGTATTAACATGGGAGCGTGAGAAACTGCAAAGTGAAGCTATGTAATAGTTTTAGAAATGCAGGTGAGTTTGCATTTGTAATTAACTGATATTATTTTTCTCTTTAGCTCCTCGAGGAAGTGTTTAATTGGTTCAACAGCCAAGACCCAAAGGTGTGGAACCCTTGTACCAAAGACTTGCCCATGTGAGTAATGGTTTCCACTTACTTATTTGCATAATGATAATGAAGTGGATTCAGTTTTTAAACCCAAAGATGTTTTAAAAGTACATTTAAAAGACATATATGAAAGTTAAAAGCACTGCTCTGTCTTTTAGGGCATGAAAAGAAATGCTTATCAGCCTTTGAATTGTTGAATTTTCTTCTTAAATAGGGGGATGCTGTCCCAAGCTGTTCACCCTCCTACCACAGAGCATGTTTACGCCCAGTGGCAGGAGAGGGAGAGGGTCTCATCCAGGGCTCCCCTGGGGCTCCTGCAGGAGGACAACGGACAAAGCTTAGATGTAAAGGAAGAAGAGGCAGTTTCTCCGTTGTCTGGGGAGCCAACAAGCCGAAACCACTTCAAAACCAGCAGGGCTGTCAGGCTCAAATTCAAAGGTAATGCTGTCATTTTAAGGGAGGCAAAAACAGAGTTAGCTATTGATATTTTTTTAATCTTGTGCTGCACTGTGCCCTATTAACTCTCAAATTTTCGATCTAGGGAAAAGGGGCCGCCTTTCAAAAGCTGATTTAGACACTGGATGGTCTAAGGATGATGAGAGACAGTGCTCTTTGTGCCAAAAGTATGGTGACCTCAAACCTAATGTAAGTAATGCGTTAAACATTAAAATGAATAGTATATTGTAAATACCAAACTTGAAGAGCAAACGTCTTATAAATACTGTACATACAGTATTTATAGGTTACTCAAGGTTTTTAACTATTTTTTTGCTTGTGTTGTTCCACAGGAAGCAGGCAGGTTGCTTTACTTGGGCCAGAATGAATGGGCACATGTCAACTGCAGTCTGTGGTCAGCTGAGGTGTTTGAAGAGGACAATGGCTCTCTGCTGCATGTACACAGTGCTGTCACAAGGGGCCGACTGATGGTTGGTTGTTAATCTACCTAATAAATTAAATTACCTGTTAGTTTAATGATGTATAGGAACACACATTATTAAACTGAGTTGTATTACTTGTAAACTTGTAAATGGATATGGATATTTGAGAACTTAAAAATATGTGAACAATTCAGCAGCCAGGTTCTACTCATATACATAAATATCGATTCTTTTAATTAATGACTGATCCTATATCACATCAATCCCAACCCCCTCTTAGCGATGTGAACGCTGCAACCAGACGGGTGCCACGGTGGGCTGCTGTCTGACATCGTGTCAAAGCAACTATCACTTCATGTGAGCTCGCTCCCGTCACTGTGTGTTCCAGGACGATAAGAAGGTCTACTGCTACAAACACCGACATCTCATCAGTGGGAGGGTAAGATCTGCTCTTACAAGTTGTCTCTGACCCTATCAGTGTAAAGGTTTTCTGAATTTGATTCAAGGTTTCATCATCACTTGTTTTTCTTTTTTGCACAGATGATTACTGGTCAAGAATTTGAAGTAAACCGCAGGGTTTATGTAGACTTTGAGGGCATCAGTCCCCGCAGAAAGTTCTTGACCGGCCTGGAACCAGAATTAATCAACTTGATGATTGGTAAGAACCTATCTTTTATCTGGTTTACTTTTCACTCCTTGGTATTTACTTATATGATCTCATGTTTAACTAATAACTGGTATTCCAATTGTCACCACACAGGTTCCTTACAGATAGACCAACTGGGCATGCTGACAGAACTTTCAGCTTGCAAAGGAAAACTGTTTCCTGTGGGGTTTCAGTAAGTTGCATTTTATCTTTTTATACCTGCTTTTTTAAAACAATTTGTGTTTACATGATGGAATGAAAAGCACTTTTAAAGCTTTGTTCTTCCTTCCTAAGGTGTACTCGTTGGTACTGGAGTACAGTCAATCCCATGCGCCGGTGCAAATACACATGCACTGTGCGAGAGGTTCGGCCCACTGTCCCTGAGAAGCCAGTCGAGGAGATGCCTGACCAGGGAGACAATCACACCATTGCTCACAGTCCCTGTCCACTGCCTGGTGTGTATTTTGTGACCAAAAATGTGCTGTATATAAATAAGTGATTTGCTGTTAATTACAGGCCTCTAGACTGCGACCGAAGTGCTCACATATGCCATTTTTTGTGAGTGTGCAAGTTATAATTTCACAGTTGCATTCATGCTAGTACATGATGTAGACAGGTGTCTTTAAGGTGGCAAACAGAGTGACTGCTGACTCATATCAACGGGTCTAACACAGGTTAAATGCACATCAGCAGGTGTTATATATGTCTGGTGTATAAAAGTCACTGCGATGCGTTTTTGTCTCACGACCTCCTCTTCTACTTGGAGTCCTCGCATTCGTATAACAGAAGTTAAACATAGTAATTACTGGGAGAGCACAGCACCAAATTCAGGTGTTAATGCAAATTCAGGGTAGAGGATTGTGATACAATTTAATATTAATGAGAAAAGGTGCAAACAAATCATTTACAGGTGTGACCAACTAAGAGAGTTGGTAGCACTAGTGCTACCAGTGGATGAAAGTACAAATAGTTTCATAAACTGTTTTTTTTCTTTTTTTTAATCTTCAGAATCTGAAGCCCAGGAGACTGACATAACAGAACCCCAACCCCCAACAGAGGAAAACTTACTCCCAGGACCTAACCCCAAGTCAGATCATGGTGCAAGGCCAAAGATTCCCAGGAGACCAGCTGGAGGAATGTCCCGACCTCTGCCATCCCCAGGTAAAATATAAATTTATATTTTTTTTTTGTTAAAAATTATTTAAATTCACTAACAGCAACCTGTTGATAAAATCAAAAGCTCACGTCACAAACTGTGGTTTCATTCTGATTTCTTCTCAGGAGCACTCCAGTTGAAACCCCACCACATATTAACCATAAGTGATCTGGAGGATACTCGAAGGGTTCGTCGCCACAGCCCACACCTGCAGACAACGGGCCTCCGCAGTCACATGCCTCCCCCTCCTCTGGGCCCTCTGCCTGGACCGATCACCCTCCGAGCTGGAAAGTCTTCCCTCTCCACTTCTCCGCTGTTCCCACTCAGTGCTCCAGACAACCTGTTAAATTCTCCATCGTCCCGCTCAGGCGGAGGTAGAAGTGCTTCCGCAGCCCGATGCCCTGGAAATACAATGACTCAATGTACCTCATCTTTCTTTCCTCAGTCTCCCTGGCAGGACAGTGCGGCAAGCTTTCCCTCTCCAAGTCTGTCTTTCTCTCCATCCATACAGCATCTACCCAGAAATCGATTTTCATTTGATCTGAACCAGCCAGAGTCAGTGGAGGTGCCGCACAACTTCTTAGCTTCACCAGAACCTGAAGATGTCTCTCCAGCAAATGGTACATCACCCCAGGGGGATTTAGACCAACAGAAGGATGAAGAGGAATTCCCTTACAGTTCATTCCACAAGGATCCCAACATGAGTCTGGGCCAAGAGATGAGGACAGAACTGGAAATTGAAGAGACACTCCTGAGTGAAGGTGTGGCAATGAACTGTGGGGGACAAATAGTGGTAGAAGGCGATGATCAGGAGGAATTTTGGGGAAGAACCCAAGAGGTACACAAGCGAAAGACTCTCATTGCTAACCTGCCACGGTCTGCAGCCTCAGCCAGGGATGACTTAGGCAACACCTCTTCTGATGATGATATGGAGCACTATTTTGATTTCTCGCGGACAATAGTCAGCTGTCCCGGATCAAAAGATTCCAGATCTCCCTCCTCCCCCTCTTCCCGGCCTATGACTCAGCTGGATGGTGTAGATGACGGTACAGAGAGTGATGCAAGTATAGCGACCAACGATGATGCTCAGAAAGCTGAGGGTTCTACTCAAGCTCAGATACAAGCCAAAAGCCTAAATAATAAAAATGTCCCTCAATCGGACGCTGCAAACAGCACACAGGCTGTTCAGAGCTTGTTTCCCAAAGCATCATCCAGTCAAAAGCACAGTGAATCTTCATCAGACAGCATCTCTGTTGCCAGCAAAAGTTCTACGGATACTTCACCGCGAGGTACATCTAAATCCCATGATGCCAGCCAATCAAACGAAGACAACATGTTATTTGTTTCTCCACAAATTTCCGGGAACCCTCCAGTAAAAGAGCAAAGCTCTGACACTCCTTTAGTAAATCAGGAGACCGTGCTTCCAACTCCATTTCGTGATGCTCTGCCTAACTTACTCACAAAGGTGCCTGAGACCTCCTTTTCAGAGGAGTTATTCCAGGGTTCAAGTTTAGGTTTTGCCTCTGGAACACCTCTTCTTCTTGAGAGATGTGACACAAATCCACATTTAACTGAGATGGTTCCTTTGCTTGAAGGTACACTGCTTGAGACCCAACAGTCTGAAGCTCGTAAACCCCTGAACTCAGAGCCTGACAGCAGCTACTCCACGGTATTGAACCACCGAACGGCAAATACAATGGAACCCTCATTAGCCGATTCTGCTGATAACAGTCAGGGTGCCCTGCTGGATCTTCTTCAGCCTTCCCCTGTAGTGTCCACGGATGTTCAAAACCCTTCTCAAGGCCTCGTAGACTCTCTGCAGATGTATTCCTGTTTCAGTCAGCCCCCTATAACAAGTATTACACTTCAGCCAGTAACATCCTCGCAAGAGGCAACAACCTTCCCATCCATGGGGCCTTTGTCTACCAAACTTACTACCCTCAGTACCGTTGGAGACATGACTCAAACACTGCTAAACGTTGCCCCTCAGAACGATCCAGTGCTATCAGCTACATCAGGCACTTGCCCCCCAGCAGGAACATGTGCAACAGTGTCTCTCCCTATCTTCTCCACACAAACACAGCCATTGGGTTCCACAGCTGTCACCATTGTTTCTTCTTCTGCATCACTATCGTCTCTGTCTGGGCTGTCGACACACTGTCCAACAGCTCCAACGCCAGGCCAAACCACCTCAGCCCCTGTGATCTTAAATGGTTATAGCTCTTCATCTGTGCAGAAGGAAGCTACATCAGGTCACACTATCTCCATCAACTTTTCTACACCCAGGCCAGCTTTAGAACCGCAGCAGCCAGTGGTTCCCCAGGCTTTACCTGGACATGCTATTCTTACTGTGAAGGAGGTGGGAGGTCCAAATGTGGACCCCACACCACATGTCCTGCTGGTGAACCGCCTCGGGCAGATCTTCGTCAAGAACCCAGAAAGCAACACTTTCCAGTTGCCCACTCCCACCTCTCCCTCCTACAACTGTGTCACTCAGATAGCCAGCCTTTTACAGAGCAACGCACTGTCAGCCACACTAGCAGCAGCTGGTAATATGTCTGCTCCAACTGCCGGGGCCAACGTTGCAACAGCAGTTCCTCCGTTGGTTACACCCACAGTTCAGAATCCAACCACAATTACACAGCTGCTCACTCACAATAGCAAAGGTGCAGTGGCGTCAGCTAATGCGAAGAAGTCGAGAAAGAGTGCAAAAACACCAAAAGATGAAACCAATCCGGAGCTGAAAAAAGCAAAGAAGAAGAAGGATTCCAGTGCATCCAGAAAATCCAAGTAATCCAAGGCCTCAGGGCAGCCTGCTCCACCTACTGAGACTCCTCCCATGACTCCTGCAGAGAGTGCTCAAGCAATTATCAATCAAGCAATGGCGAGTAACTACACCCCCAAGTGGAGTGGGCTTCGAACCCTAAGCCCTTCCTCACTGGTTTTACCACCTGACCTGTTAATTGAACCGGAGCCTCCGGGGTTGGAGCCTTGCCCTCCATCAGTATCACCAGCACCAGCTCCCGCACCCCGGCCTCGCACCCACGTCCGCATGAAGAGAGTGTCTTCGCTTTCAGACCGCATTGTCACAAAGAAGTCTAAAGTTGACTTCCTAAAACCAGAGCCCCTCAGTGAGGATGAGGAGCGACGCAGACCTGTCTTCCCGAGCATCTCCAGCAGGGCTTCAGGAGTCCGCATCAAGACCCCAACAGTGAAAGGAGTGCTGAACCTGGACCAGTTAAAGGAGGAGCGTATGAGTGATTCTGATAGCTCAGGGTAAGATTTTACTTGGCTTATATAGAGCTGTAACTAACTTTTATTTTCATTATTGATTAAAGGTCCAGTGTGTAGGATTTATGGGCATCTGTTGGTGTAATGGAATATAATATTCATAACTATGTTTTCATTAGTTTATAATCACCTAAAACTATGAATCATTGGGTACTTTGGAATGAATAATTTACCTGCATACAGAGTCCATCATGTTGTTTCTACAGTATCCTAGAATGGACAGACCAAACACCGGCTCTAGAGAGGACCTGTTCTGTTTTTGCATCTGCCACTGTAGTTCTCTGTGCTTGACACACTGAAGGAGATTGAGTTTGTTGCAATGTTGCATCCTCACCACTAGATGCCACTAAAGCCTAAATATTGGAGATTTAATTGAGAAGGAAAAACAGAAGATTCTTACATTTTAGAAGCTGGAGCCAGCAAATGTTTGGCTTAATCACTTGAGAAACCATTAACCTATAGATCCAAAACTTTGACTGACAAATAGATTTTGCAAATTTACAAATGATGCAGTTTTTTTTAAGTGATTTCAATTAAAGATCCATAATTAACTTATTTTTATTTGCTTTATGCCATATTTTGGATTTGCTAGAACAATACAGCATCAGTGTTGCTGTTATGGCATCTGGAAACAGTATATTACACAGGAGGACTGAATTACATGGAGTGCATTTGGCTTTTCATTAAATGATTGTGTTTGAAAACCTTTTGTCCTCCTATTGTTCTCAGATCAGAGCCGTGGGATTATATGTCTCGTGGTGAGCAAGGCAAACAACAGGCATGGGAACCAGTGGGACACAGCACCCTGACTGACTGGAAGAAATACTCTGGTATTCTTGAGTTTTAGTGGCATGATTTAATGACCTCTGTGAATTAAAACAATTATTCCTCGGCAATGCCTGCCACATATGGTATGACACTAACTAATGACTGGGAATATTGTGGGTTTTTTTAGGCGCTGCTTCTACCTCAGATGATGAATCACCACCATCTGACCAGGATGAGGAATCTCCGATCAACAGAGACCAGCCACACTTAAGATTTGAGATCACTAGCGATGATGGTTTCAGTGCAGAGGCAGACAGTATTGAGGGTAAGGCCAATACTACAAGAGAAGAATTTCCCAGAAAGCCTTTAAATTGTTGAACATGTTCTCACACAAGTTTCTTGATGTGATAATTCTGTAGCCATTTATATTCATTGTATTCACATAATGACGCATAATTCTCATCTTTCCTTCCAGTGGCTTGGAAAGCAGTGATAGACGGGGTGCAGGAGGCACGAGCTATTGCCAGGTTGAGACCTCTGACCTTTCAGAGGATCACTGGTCCCCGTATGATGGGTCTGGTCCATGATGCTGTGGTGTTCTTGCTGGAGCAACTTGAAGGAGCCCACCGCTGCCAACGTCATGCCTTCCGTTTCTTCAAACAGTGCACGCAGGATGACGACCTCCCTGTCAATCCCAGTGGTTGTGCCCGCTCTGAGCTGTACCTTAGGTTAGTAAACCAGTACTGTTCAAATCAGTTCGGCTTATTGATCTTTGGTCTATATTTAATCTATCCAGTCCTTTTCTCTAAATAAAGTGAAAAAACAAGTGATTATAAAGTGTGAAGTTTAACTTGTTAAGTCTGTACTCATCTAAACCTGATGTTTTCTTTTTTCTCTTAACAGGAAGTCCACATTTGACATGTTTAACTTCCTGGCTTCTCAGCATAGACAGCTTCCTGACATTGGACCTTATGACGATGAGGAAGACGAGGTTCTTTTGAAGTCCACAAGGTAAGGCTTCACTCATTTAGTAATAGATGTTTCCTGTTATAATATGTATAAGACCTTCAAAAGCACCTTGCTTTTTCATTTAAAAAAAAAATTATTTATTTTTATTTACTTGTTTATTTGACAAGGACTAATGCATAAGACATTGCTTCATATGTAAAATACAAAGTAGATGCAGTGCATACAGGTTTCTAGCCATGGTGAATTTGCAACCCCTCTCCCTGGTTTGGCTTTTAGAATTAAACAGTAAGTGTAAGATTAGTGGGGATGGAGTAGTTCCATACAACAGTACAATATTACATCGTTTCATTAATAGTTTTCTCTGAAGTTTTGCTCAGTTTATCTTTGACTTTTCTTTTCTGCGATTTGGTATTGAAACTGGAATAAACTTTAAGATGGAAGGGTAAATGCTGCATGTTTTTTAAAATAAATATTCACACCATTTTCTGCTTTTTCTCTGCTCTTTCTCTTAGGCGGGCCACTAGCTTGGAGTTGCCCATGGCTATGCGTTTCAGACATCTGGAAAGGACATCCAAGGAGGCTGTAGGCGTGTACAGGTCAGTTCAGAACTGCTTTTACAAAATAATCAGACTTGTATGTAATGCTTGAACAAAAGAGTGAATAAATAATAATAAATAATGAATAAATGTTCCAAACAAAAGCCCAAAGTGACTCAAACAAGAAGCTGCAATGATTATTAGTTACACATGCAGCACGTTTAGGGTCATATCTAAGTCAGTGCATAAAAAAATAAATTTATACAATATCAATATCCACAAGGTAAAATTACAAATGAATAAAACACCTAAGTAGGTTTATATGGAAATAGAAACAAGTCAGTAAAACTATATGACAATACCCTGTCAGCATACCTTTTCATGGACTGTTTATTGAGTCAATGAGTTATTACAGACACCGCTAACTGCTAACTGCTAACAGCTAACGGTTAGCCCAGCTAATCTACAATAACCATGTTATTAATTACAAAATGTGCACACAGAAATAGTAATGTTTGTTCAATCATTGTGTTTATAGACTTTATAAACATCAGATTAGTCTAAACGATGATATAGTGATGTGAAAAATGTGATATAGCTAAACTCTGCTGGTTTTCTACCCGGAAGTATTTGTAAACAACAAGGCGATTTCCTCTATAGTGAGCCGGTGACAGTTGAAAAATAACTCCCTTCCGGGGTTCCATTCCCCTGTTGGGAGTTATTTTTCAACTGTCACCGGCTCACTATACATTATCCCTTACGGAAGGAGCTGAGGTGGTTGCTGTGTTTCTGGCGTGTCTCTTCGTTTACATGGCAGTGGAAGCTATGAACGAGCTAACCCTCGCCTGCTGAGTTTTAAAAATGCCGGCTATTTTGTCGCTTTCTGTTGACGTCACATCCTGCCTTGAGTATATCCAATCAGCACCAAGTAAATCCTAAGCCCCAGCCAGGAGTTTCTCGGGGCCGTTCTGAGTACCTACTCTGAGGCAGGGACTTGTTTAGTCCCTGTAAAAGTTCCGGAACTCTGTCCTTCGGGGGTGGTTCCTGCGGTGGAGACACGCACCAACGGCCCCGGCCCCATAAAATTACCCTGAAGTTCCTGCGGTGGAAACGGGCCTAATGATTTGTGGAAGATTCAAATGATCTAAGCCCATTGAAATGTATAATGTAGCTTTAGTGCCATCTATAGGTGAAGTGCTATCAGCTTTTGCAGGATCAGCCTGCACATCATCTACATTTAAGTGCAGTTGCAGTGCATTTAAGATATTTATGAATCACATTTTTGGGGGATATCTAAATGTGTAATGAAAAATGTTGCATTAAGTAGAAATGACAGATAAGTGTTGCCCATATGGATAGTCAGACTCTGACCTAACCAGTGCAGATGCGTGACTCTATTTCATCATCATTGTTTATAACCAGTTAGGATAATGGATACAACCTAGCTTAGATGTTTATCTTAGAGCAGCCTCGAGCATCTCTAAAGTAACAGCAGAACTGGACGGCTGAAATGGTGACATCAACAACAGCTGCTGCCCCAATGTTCAATCAGAGAGACTGAGACAAAGCTACAGTTAAAACAATGTGGGAGACTCAGGCACAAAGTGAGAACAAACAAAACACAAGGACAAAAATGAAACCAGAAGAAGGAACTACAGAAGTTCTTCCAGTTCTGTTTGGCTGTACTCGAACACAGTGGCTCTTTGAGATAAATACTACAGTCAGTATGCTAACATGGTCCCACTGAAAATCTTAACATATTGATGTCCAGCAGATAATATTTGCTGAAGTCATCACCATAGCTTAGCATGCTCCCATAAAAAATATTGTGATATGAGATCAGATATCATCTCAGATTTTGAATATTGTAACATTGGAAGTGTAGCCTTTTCCTGGTTTTAAAGGCTGCATTAAAGTACAGTGATGTAATTTTCTAGCTGCTTTATTATATGCCTTTAATCACATGGTCATTATATCCACATTACTGATGATTATTTATCAAAAATCTCATAGTGTAAATATTTTGTAAAAGCACCAAAAGTCAACCCTGCAATTTGGTTGCAATGTTAATATCAAGGTATTTGGTAAAAATATCGTGATATTTGATTTTCTCCATATCTCCCACCTCTATTAGCATGGAAATACTTACTAATTAGCATGAAAAAAATTACAGCTGAGGCTGATGGCAGGTATTTGGTCATAAACCAAAAAGTATTGTAGAAATTACATTTTTGACTTGAACAAAGATGTTTGACCAGCATCAAAAAACACTTTTCACTGTATCTATTCGGCATGTTAAGTTTGTCATTGTGCACGGCCACAGTTTCAATAAATAGACTGAATTATATTAGTGTAATGATGAAATCCCTTTTATTTTCCCACCCTTATTTGATCAAATCTCTTGCACTTGCATTCAGTGTCTACAGGTCCTTAAAGAGTCTTAAAATTAAAATGACTTAAACTCAATGTTACAACAGTGAGGCCTTAGGTCATTAAATAGTCTTAAATTTGAGGTCATACCTGCTACAAACATTATATCTAATTTAATTTATCCATTATTTAATTTCTTTTTGTGACAATGAGTGAAGCCTTTCTATGTAAAAGTCCACATTTCTTATATTACAAGTCTTTAAAAAAACTATAATACTGTCATTTGACTCCATACTTGCACTTACCTGTTGGCAGAATGTAGATTGACTTGATTCTCTCTCATAACCATATTCCAAGACCACATATATACTACTTGTCTGCAATGCTTAAGTATAATAATAATAATATAATAGTAATAAGTAAAACAGTCCAAAAAACTGGCCTGTACTGTTTGGTTAAAAGGTGTCTTGAACGAGTCTCAAAAAGCATTGCGTTTAACTGTCTGATACCTGTAAACACTGAGCTCATTTTATAGCTTAAGTAGCAAAGAATTATGGGAAATTCACATCTAGAAGTTGGCTTGAGTGTGCATCCCAACAGTTAAAACATCGTCACCGTGGGCCCAGCGCATGAACTTGTCTGACCTAACCTGTTGCAGGTCTGCTATCCATGGCCGCGGTCTGTTCTGCAAGAGGAACATCGAAGCAGGGGAGATGGTTATTGAATACGCCGGCATCGTCATCCGCTCAGTGCTCACTGACAAAAGGGAGAAGTACTACGACGGCAAGGTTGGTCTGGTTTCTGTTTCTTTAAGTAGTTTCATTGTAATGTAGTCTAAAATAATTGAGGGTTAAAGTAGGAAAAGGTCAGAGGACGTATCAGTAGATTTCATTTTTGCCTCTTCCGCAGGGCATCGGCTGTTACATGTTCCGCATTGATGACTTTGATGTGGTGGATGCAACCATGCATGGCAACGCAGCCAGATTCATCAACCACTCCTGCGAACCGAACTGCTACTCTCGAGTGATCAACGTGGAAGGCCGGAAGCACATCGTCATCTTTGCTCTTCGGAAGATCTACAGGGGGGAGGAGCTCACCTATGACTATAAGTTTCCCATTGAAGACGCCAGCAGCAAACTCAACTGTAACTGTGGGGCCCGGCGATGTCGGCGTTTCCTCAACTGAGACATCCCTCGATTGAAAAGGGGAGGATCCTGTTTACTTGTAAGCCTTAAATTAAGGTGGATTGGGCTCGGGGAGGCAGCAGGCTGTCTGCACAGAAGGGGAATTAGCCACTATGAGACCAGCTGAGAATATTCGGCTGGTCAGAAGTGATTTATGTGGACATTTTTATGGATCGTAGAGGAAGAAGAGCCTTGAATCTGCACAGAAAGTTCATACCAGGCAAGTTTAAGTTTCCTATCTTGTCTGTGAAAGAGTTTAGATGTACAACTACCACAGCAACATCGCCACAAAGTAAATATTGTTGAGGAAGTGGTTTTGGTTTCAGTGAAAACAGAGACTTTAAAACCATAGGGGGGTTCCTGGATCCGTATGAATGAAACCAACAGAATTTCTTTGAAACACACGTCAAGCCTTATCTGTTTGAATCATTGCTGAAAACCTATAGCTAGGCTCTGAGAGATTCCTTATATGTTTTATTCGTTTCTGGGGGGGGGGGTACATCTGTCTATAGTACACATGTAATCATGATCGCTCCATCCTCCAGTGATGGGAACATTATCGCCCATCCGTGCAGTGGTGAAGTCAGTTCTTGAGCCATACATTCACCCAAACCTTTGTGTGTTTTATCTTACATTTTTCACTTCTCGCGTTGTCAATATTTTTTTTCTTTCTAGACTTATTTTTTTCCAGGAATAACAAAACAACCATGGTGCTAAGCTTTGAAAGGTCTTTAACGTCTTTAGTTGGACAAAGATGTCCTGCAAATCAGGAATGTGTTTAGCTGTTTATTCACCCTGCTGAGACCATTAATCTTAAATTTATGCACTCAAGCAGTACTCTTATCTTCATTGGAATGTAAAGTGTCTGCTACGTTTCACACTTTTAGACCATTGGTGTGGTATTTGTCACCTATTTTCTTCCTGTGTTGACTTAAAAATAGCAACGTTACCAGTTTGAGTCAGTAACATAGTGTCATATTTATAAAGACAGAAATGTGTCTTTGAGACGTGTTTTTTCTCTTGATGTACAGTGTATGTAGCAAACACTACCCAAGCCAAAAGTGAAGAGTTGTGGTGAATATCAGTTTTTTTTTAAATATATATTTTATTACTCTCATGGCAAATGCTCATTACTTATTGCAATAAGACGTTGCTGCCCTACAGGTGCACATAAATAACCATCAAACGTACAAATTATCTTCATCTGTGTGAAACCTGCTACATTTAATCTCTTAATCAGGGAGGACGCTGGTTTCGAGCATTGCCACCATGCATGCATGCGTGCGTGTGTGTGTGTGTGTGTGTGTGTATTCAGTTCCTGCACCAGGCTTGTCAAGACACCGGCGCACAGACTTTGTAGATGTTGCAGAAAACATTGAGTCTGAAACGGAGCTGAGAGAATGCACTCAGCACCTTAAAATAATGTTTAATGTTGTTCTTAGTTGATGTTCAGTGCCGTCTTTGATGAGGGTAATCTAATTCACACACTGTTCAAATTGGTAGTTATATTTATTCATGTTTTGATTTCTATTTTTAATAGTAAAAGGTTGTGCTTTGTATAAATGGTGGTGGTCTAGTGTATTAGGAGATCTCCCCAATTTGTATCCTTTTGTTGTGTTTACAACTGATGTCCTTTGTTTCACTAATTTACTTGAATTTTCTTTTGGGGCAGTTGTTGTCATGCATTTAAGCCTTTGTGACAGAAATTGTTCTAAAGCAGGTATTTTTAAAGAATCATTTTTATTTTATTTTTTGTTACGGTAGATTACTGACGGTCTTAGAATCAGCCACAGGAGTAAAATGAGCACTGTTTGCCTCCCCAAGTGCATGATCATCTTTTTCTTTCACCCGACCTTTTCTCTTCAAACTTCTTAGAGTAAATTTCCTTCATGTTTTTGTGTCGATCTTAACTCCCTTTCCTTCTTGCATGTCCAATCACTGGGATGGAGCCCAGATTTACTTGTGTCAATCACCTAGCTGACAACAAGAGCAGAGTCACTCCCAACTCCTTGCAAGGATTCTACCTCAGCTGTTTACACAGATGTTTGGGAATACTGATGCAAAAAGAGAGGTTGATAATTTAAAGAGTAGCTTGGTTTTAATGTCCTGCAGAGCTGGTGAGTGTGTGTCTGTGGATGTGTCTGTGTGAGTGTTTGTGGATGTGTCTGTGTGAGTGTTTGTGGATGTGTCTGTGTGAGTGTTTGTGGATGCGTCTGTTTGTGTCATTGTGTGTGTGCGTGCGTGTGTTTGCAATGAAGGATGGAAAGCACTAGTCAAAACCTGAAGTTATCATTACCATCTCTCCCAGAATCTGTTAAGAAAGCTGTATGTTATATATACACACATATATAAAAAAATATATATATAGTATATATAGTAGGGTTATTTTAAAGTAAGTGTAAAAGACATAAAAATGAGAAAATATGTGATCTTTAAATTTACGTCTTTGTTACCATGTACAAATAAACCCTGGGTTTGTAAATATTTGTATACATATTTCTAAACCTGTTTAATTTTTCTATGCACTTTTTTATTTATAATGTTATTTGCTTAATAAAGATGTTAAGATGTTTGAGCAAAGTTCTTTTTTTTTATTGTAAGTAGTGAAACAGTAGAAAAAATAATGTGAAGCAATAAGCATTGACTGGAATGTATCACAATATTAGGGCCACTGTAAGTCTCAACATAAGAGAATTAAGTCATAATAGGTTGCTTCAGGTCATGTTATGCTTGTAAATTGATTGGATTACGCCTTCCTGACGGTCCACAGGCATCCGGAGTCTTCAGTTATTTTGACTAAAAATCGTGTTTAGACTACAGTGTGATGCCTCCCCTACTTCCTCCACTTTTATAGGCATCTCTGATCTGTTTGGGACAGTCTTCCTACTTTGATCTGCCCACTGAAAATCTTGAGGAAGCAGCTGTGCTCTGGCTTAATCAGAGTTAGTGTAGTAAACATCTGTGCAGGCAATAGGTCGTACAATGGTGAGGTTTGTCCCTGATCAAAAGTGTTTTCAAGCGGTTTCGGTTTTCCATCTCAGATGAAAGCCTGCAGAAAGGGGCTTTCCCAAACGTCTTATCCAGAGCTAGTCCCAAAAAGCTTACGTGTCTCAGACAGTCTCAAGGGGAGTCGGCCATCTGAGCGTGGAGCACTTATGTAATGCACAGCTGACTACAGCGCAGATGGAGTCTGTGTTTTAAAGCCCAGTGAGCTTACATCACCACTCATGCTTTTTTCACTCTGGACAAAACCTTCCCTGATGAACTCCATCTTCAAAAGCACAGCTGGTTATCATCTCATACATCGTGCGGCACGTTTCTATTGGCTCTGATAATCGGGTGCTTACTGGTGAAACAGTCATTAACAGGTCATTAAAGGTCTACTGTATAGGGTTGAGTGGCATCTAGTGGTGAATTTGCAACATTGCAGCCAGCTGAAACTTTTAGCTGACACTAAAATGCAAAAACCCTATCTAGAGCCAGCGTTTGGTTTGTCCATCCTGGGCTACTGTAGAACATCATGGTGGACACCATAAAGGAGGAACTGCTCCTTATGTAGATATAAACAGCTCATTCTAAGGTAACGAAAACACAACAATTATTTTCAGGTGATTATAAACTAATGAAAACATATGAATTTTATATTCAATTTATGCCATCAGATGCCCCAAAATCATACACACTGTACCTTCAACATCACTCATTAGACACATAAAAGACAGACTGCTCTTATCTGTTTACTCATGCTTGTAATATTACGGCTTTTCCTTGCATCAAATGACCTTATTGTCATTAAATTATGACTTTATTCTCGTAGTATTACCTCTTTCGCGTGGCCCTAATACTGTGTCGTGTAAATGTTACAAGAGGCTTTTGTTTAATCAAAATCAACATTTGCTGAATAATACTTCATTTGGCTATTAATTCTTCTACATTATGTGTGCAAATCATGTAAACAGAGTGGGTATCGCACCACTCCTGTATTTTTCCTTCATGTTAACACTGATCAGATCAAGAAGATTCTTTTCACACCATCTCTCCGGATTTCTGAAGAAATGTTACACCTGCTGTATCATTTTCAGTTTGAGCTTGGCGAGAACAGCAATGGCATCGTTGCGCTCCATCTGTCGTAGCACCTTAGCCAGGTGCCCCACCGTCGAGTCAGGTTTCCTGCTGGTGACGCCCTCCAACACGGCTGTCAGGGGGCTCTTACTTTCCTTCATAGAGTAGGTGTAAGTAATCCAGGTGGCGGGGAAGGAGAAATGAGACGCCAGATGTTTGGTGTTCTTGACTCCTTGGCTTTCTGGATCCAACAAAATCACCAGCTCTTCCAAAACATCCAGGTTGTCCAGCACTGTCTGTAAAGGTGCTGACAGGACGCTGGGACCTACAGAGGAAGGTTGTGGGAGATTAAAATACATTGTTTGCCAACTTTCTGCATCAGTTTATTAACTTTGTGTTATTGCAGCTCAGTTTATCGATTGGCCCATTAATATCCCAGTTACTGTTGTTCCTGTCCCAGCAGATCAGGATCATAGGCTGCATAATAGAGATGGGCGGCATGGAGCTCCCCAAAAGTGAAGCCAAAACATCTCAATCACCCCCTGGTGGCTGGCTGCAGTATAGGTCATAAACCTCACCTCCTCCTTGTGCACATCAAATAAATGTTTCCCAAAGATGGTTTCTGTCATTTCTGGTAGTTCATATCATGCTGATGTATGCTCAAGTGTAAGTCTCGTTTTAATTAGCTATTTGAAGCTATAAAAAAAGGGGATGTGACATCATGATTGACAGCTGTGTGTGCAAGTTGGTGTACTCGCAATCAGTGGCGCTGCTCACAGTTTGTCAGACAGGTGTTAGAGTGGGAACGCAATACTGCTGAGATCACTACTGCACACAGTCTGGCTCCACATGACATCACCAGAGCAAGATGGAGGCGGCCATATTCACAATATTTTGGCTTCAATTCTGTACAGTGGGAGGAAGTGGAGACGTAGAGTCCATCTTTTTATACAGGCATTGACCAGGAACAAGGAGGTATAAATGCACCCACAGATTATTGACAACAGCTGAGTCTGATGCTGTAAAACTATCTATGCAGTGGAAAGACGCAAATACTTAAGAAACTGGTGCCACATCACCAATGAAAAAAAAGTGCTGTGGCAGTCGCTGTTGCTAAAGAGATAGAAAACCTTCAACTACCGGAATTGGGTGTTGTGACACAGGAAATACCATGGACCCAGCTGGTAACAAAGGATATAGAATATCAGATAACACTCACATCATATAAGCTAAAATGTGTTTCTACAGAAATACGATCTTGTTTTTTATTGGATCATCGCAGCCTAGTTTCACTGTTTGATCTGAGTTTTGTTTTTGTAGTTTGAGCAACAATCAAGGAGTGAAAATCATTAAATGTATCGTCTGGCAGATTTCAGCTGAGAGATCTGGCCCCTGGCAAGATGTAGGGAGGTTTACTATACTCCATCTACATGTACTACCACATTGTTATGATACAAAGCTGCCTGAAAATCAGCAACGTATCTTTAATGTCACATTTAGCTGTACATTGTACATTTAGAGACGACAGTGTGATTTACACTCACTCAGGATGTCCTCCAGGTCGTTACCAGTAGAGAGAGAATAGAACCCTGGATTAATGTATGAAGATCTTCTGCTGTAGCCCAACACTGCTTGGTGACCTGTGTGAAACACTGACATCAGAGAGACACAGTTATAATCAGTGCCAGGACCACCCAAGTATATTTGCATTCCAGAGGGATAAAATGTTTTGCTTGTACAGTGTCCCTGGATGTGACTTGACCAAACAAGACTCTCCTTTCTACTCTTCTGCACATTTGTCTGTGTTTAAAGCCTTAAAGGGAAATTTCGGTTTATTTCAATCCGTCTCCTATCGTCCTAAATTTCTTTCAAGTGACTAGTGACATAGAAATAATAGTTAGCATGTTAGCCGTTAGCCTAGATACAGCCGTAGCGTCAGACCTGTTAAAACGTAAGTGAACGGGCATCCTTTCAAGTGCAAAGTTAGTCCACTAAACAAGCTTTTTTTCCACAAAGACCGCCTCATATAGTTAGGATAAATGTCAGAGAACATATAGAAAACGACATGTAAACGTGTTGTCTTACCTTACCGGTGTGCTGCCATGTTTGTTTATCATCTAGCTCTGCTTTCCAAAGCGCGGCCGAAATATATCTCGCGAGCTCTAGATAAAGCCCAGCTGGATACTACTCCAGGTGGAGGTGTCTCGTCCTCGGTCACATCCAGACCTTGAAAATAAGGCTGCAACCGGTCCCATTCCTTGCAACAGAGACATTCCTCTTCTGTGGGCACTGGGGTACAGCATTCACAGGTAATGTTACACCACCAATCTCCAGAGCTACGCAGCCTTGCAGCAACCATTCCTCCCTTCTCATCCTCTAACATTACCTGTTGCGCCTCTCTCTGTCTCCTCCTCCGTTCTTCAATTTCACGAAGCTCTTGGTCAGTGTATTCTGGCTCAAATAAATAAGGGCGGCCATCAAACTCTGCAAAATCAAATTCCTTCTCCACAAAGTCAAAGTCTGGCAAAAAGTCAGCCATTATTCTATAAATCTTTCATAAAATAAATGAATGAACTTTTCAGGCTACTGTCAGGTTCTGCCTTCCAGCCGTTGCTGCTTGTTCAGGCACACTATGAGATCGCTGCTTGTTCTCGCAATATTTCGGCCGCGCTTTGGAAAGCAGAGCTAGATGGTAAACAAACATGGCAGCACACCGGTAAGGTAAGACAACATGTTTACATGTCGTTTTCTATATGTTCTCTGACATTTATCCTAACGATATGAGGCGGTCTTTGTGGAAAAAAAGCTTGTTTAGTGGACTAACTTTGCACTTGAAAGGATGCCCATTCACTTACGTTTTAACAGGTCTGACGCTACGGCTGTATCTAGGCTAACAGCTAACATGCTAACTATTATTTCTATGTCACTAGTCACTTGAAAGAAATTTAGGACGATAGGAGACAGGTTGAAATAAACCAAAATTTCCCTTTAACTTTCCAATGTGCCAACCTCGTTTCCTCTTCATGTAGAGCACACATGCAGCTATCATAACGAGTATGATGATGATTAGGATCGCTAATGGTACTGCCCCTGTAAAAACAGAAAAAGAAAAGGTCACAGTTAAATTTAGATCAAGAACAAATATGTTCCATAATCAAGTGTATGCTGAACTTACACAGTACAGCAGGACCAGACACTTCTGTGTTTATCGATCTCTGAAATGAAAACAGAGTGAACTCTCCCGACTGTACACTTCAGATGAAACAACAAACCATCTGTGACATTTAGCAAAAAACATTTTACTGTTTCTGCTCTATTTTAAAGAGGTAAATAATGTGCTGCCATATTCTTGTACCAGTGTCATGTTTTTGTAAAACAACTTTGAGCAGAATAACTTATTTTACCTGCCAATAATTATGCATCAGTGTCTGAGATGGTTTAACAAACTTTAATTAAAGGTCTACTGTGTAGGATTTAGTGGCCACTCCTCACGACAGGAAAAAAAAGGCATTAGCGGCAACATTTTTACCGCTGTTTGGTTCGAGTTGCAGGTGGGAGTGTAACACTGGGGGCACCGCCAGAAGTGAAGGGGGTGAGTGATCCCCGAGGCCCCTGCACTTCCGTTAGTCGAAAAACTACCGGGTGGTGCCTCCAGAGGTAAAGGAAGAATTTTTTTTTTTTTTTTAACAGATGGATTTCCAGATTGATTTCTATGAAGTTGCTCAGTGGCGTATTAAGGCAAAACATCAAACTGCCATATATAAAATTACCGAGATTATTGGTGTTGCTTTTGCAATATTGGGCCCACTGGGCAAGCAAGCAAGCAAAACTCTATTTATACAGCACATCTTATTCCAGGTGGAAGCACAAAGTGCAAGGTAGAAATTGCAGGCACAAAACAAAGCCAGCAACCAACCATAAAGTGAATAAAATCCATTAAAACTAAGAATAAAACCTCGGAAAATATTCCTTAAGATGAAGAATAAACCAATAAAATATAAAACATGTGACCCCAAATAATAATAATAATAATACCAAAAAGGACCATTAAAAGAGGGTAATATTTATGAATTAAAATAAATAAAAGAACTAAAAACAATATAAAATAAGAGAAATAGATAAATAAAAGATGATAATAAGATAAAATAACAGATGAACCAATAAATCACTTAAAGTAAAAGCACCCCTGAGTTAAAATAAAGTAAAATAAAATAAAATAGGCAGGCACACTAGACCTAAATGGGGATAAAATGCATCCACTGATTTACAGGCATCTCTGTCACAATGTAGGTCAAAGTTGGCGGAAAAGTCTTTCTGGGCCCAACTGCATCATGTGAGAAAAACTCGGATGGCGTTTATTTCCACCACCAAAATTGGCTTCAAAGCTCACCACACTTCCTAGGGGCCTCCATTTGTATCAAAGTTTGCAGGTACACATGTAACTTGGCCCTGGCTCCATAACTGGATAGTAAAATGATGAGTCATTGGCCATTCAGGAAGAAGCATCAAATATGGGATGAAAAATCTTGTACTTGTGGGTATGTGAACTTTTTTCATCCACAAAGGAATAGATGTGTAACTGCGAACCTTTTATTTTGTAATTGTAAACCTTAATGCAAAAACTTGTTACTGCACTCACAATGTGTCTTTTCATTTATTCCAAAATATCATGTACAGCTACAGATCTGTTATGGATTCAAACATTTGTATGCTCTTTCACACATCTAAATGTATTTATACAAAATGTGTTCACACATTCATATATGGTCACACCGGGCTGCCAGACTTGTGACCCTTTTTTTGACTTCAGACCTCTAAATCCCAGACACTGGACCTTTAAATGACTCAAACCATGAAACCAGGGATTTTTTATGTGGGTTCACTTCCTTTTACAAAACAAACCGTGACGTAGGCCTGATACTTTCCTGTGTAGGTTAGAGCACTATTAACACACAAGTAGTCTAATGGGCCTGATGTGTAGGCTGTAAAAGATGACAGTTACATGAATTACCTCTGGTGTCATTCTGGAAGAAGTAGAAACATGCTGTGATGTTGCTGTTGTTGTTGTTGTTGTTGTTGTTGTTGTTGGCACCTGAAGACAAAACACACTGAGATCATGCTAGTTCAGAACACCATTCACATACATCATACCCACACCCAACGATCAGCCTACTCACTGTGGTTAACACCTCGGTCGTCCTTCTACAGAAATTCAGAAATAAATAGTTGCTTTACTTTGCACAACAAACAGTCATTACTTTAGAAAAAAGGTGCGTCTAGTGTGTGGTCATGGTTTCATACTCCTAACAGGACTTTGCTGCAGTCTAGTAACGGCACAATACACACTACTTCTTTCTACTTTAACCCTTTCCTCTGACACAGAGTTTTGCATTTGTGCAGCATGCTTACCGTGGCTCTTGGCACTGGGTGTCAGTAGTTGTACTGCACGGGTTTGTGGTGATGTACCCGGGATGGCATGAAGTACACGGCCGACAATACACATCGCTCCCATCATTAAAGGTTCTACCGGCCTCACACGCTCTCTTGGAGGCTTCGTGGATCCCCCCGCTATCATCTTTGCCACAGTTTGGCGTGATCTCAAAGCCTTTATTATTACAAACGACAGTGTAGCTATTAAAATATCACCTTAGGATAGAACAGAATAATAAGAATAATACACCCGGATTTACACAACCCGGTAAAAGCAGCAATAGGCTATATGAATTTATTATAATATTACTAATGGAACAGAACAGAGCAGAACAGAATTAAAATAATGACCTACCTGGACCTGGACCTGGACACCGCTCACATTTTGAAATAGTCCCCTTCCAATAGGTTTTTGGATCGTGGCATTTGCTAGAGTATACCATCGTGAGTTTGACTGAACTGAACTGAACTGCGCTTAACTCCAGTGTAAGACATTACCAGCACCTACCTACGTGGCGCCTCCCACCAGCCCGCCTGTAAATGTGGTCAAACTATACTACATTCAGACAAAAATAAAAAATAGAATAAAAATATATATATATGCATCACTCTAATTAAATTACATAATAAAACTAATTGTAACCCTGTACCCACTGAAGAAAACACGCAGCCTAATTCGATTAGAGTTGATGATTACAAAGCGTCTGAATGCTATATTGTTTGCATGTAAAAGCTTAGGCTTTATGCAGACTTGAACATTTATTCTGTCACTTTGCCTCTTGCCACCGTGCAGCAATGCCTTCCTTTTGTATATTTCCAGACAACACGGTTCAGCAAAGCCGCTGGAACAAATTTAAATGCAACACCATCGAGGGCTGTGATGCGTCATTACGCAGTCATGGAATAGTTCTTATCTCTTGAAGGTGATACACGCAAACGCGGGGGAGGTCTTTACAGCTTTATTGTTCTGTCCAGTTTAAACAATCTGTTAGAAAAACAATTAGAAAGTCATTAAATGTGAGGAGTTACATTATTTGATGAAGTGATTAAAATAGTGACATTACATTGTAGTTTTAGGGTAACTAGTAATCTGTAGACTATTACATTTATAAAATAACTCTCCTAACAAAGGTGTTAAGAGAGTTATTTTAGTGTCTTAAAAGAGAGAAAAAAAAATTCACACTTAATGCTGTAAAGGCATGGAATGAGTTCCCAGAGGATGTGGTGCGGAGTCTGGTGGAGAGGATTTATGTTCTGTACCAGCAATTTTCATTAAATTTCATTAAATAACACTGGTTATAGTTGCATTTAACCGATGACATTTATGTCTTAAACAATGGCAATTTTAAAAGTAGGAGTAAGTGCTCCTCTTGCATTACAAAAGTCTTCCATGTGGCCTTTGATTAAAAAACTCACCCAAATCAAACAGCATCATACATGATGTAGAATGAACACAGTATAAATGCTAAATATGTAAAATGGCCGGAATAAACCAAACTAGAGGATTTAGACTACAATGAAACTGTTTTGAGATTTTTAAAGAGAAAAAAGTGCAATATTTTCAATGTAATCCAGAAGTATTCAGATTAGATTACTTTACTATATAATGCAATGGATTAATTGCAAAAATTGCCATGTAATTTGCATTTGTATTCAGTAACTGATTACATTTTAGAGTCTGACCCACCCCTGAATTTAGGTTAAATTTAAATAAAAGCTCTGAGCTTTTCAATTACTTATTTTTATTTATTTACTATCAATTATTGTGTCTTGTAGCAGTTCAAGGAGGACCCAAAAGCAGACTAACAGGCCGGTTGAGGTTTTAACAAAAAGTGAGCTTTAATACAGCCGATAAAAAAAACACCCAGATACAGCAGGTAACTGAGAGTACAGATGAAAGCAGAACAAAAAATAAACTGAAAACCATTCGGGAAAAATACAATGAACTCCAGTAAAACATCCAAACAGAAGATATCAGGCAGGATAGGGAGCATGGATGACATCAAGAACTCCGGGACCAGCACAGAATATACACAGACGAACTGACAAAGAGCAAAAGGAAACAGACAGATATATATTCACAAATCACTAACCACAAGAACGAGACACAGGAAGACATAGGCAAAAGGAGGGAAATGGAGATTGGCTTACAACAAGGGTGTGGAGGGGAACACTAGGGTGAGGCAAACAAGACTAATACAGAACAGATGTGAAGGAAAGGCTCCGGACTAATGAGACATGTGTGCCAGAAAACAGGCAGGAAAACACACAAGTAAACCCAGACATGGCACAAAATAAAACAGGAAGCAGAATAAACATGAATGAATAACATGAAACGGACACAAATAGAAAACTGAATGGCTATAAACTTGTTTTCTAATTTACCTATTCAACACATAAAGTTCAGTTTATTCACCCTGATAAGAACTTCTCAACTTGTTAGAGCGGCTGTAAAATGTTGGCTGTGGTTCTGGAGGAATCTTTCCAAAGTCTGAGAAAATAACTCTGTTTAGGTAGTCTTATCTTTGGTGTGGAGGCGATAAGGTTATGAAAAACTCTGTCTCTCCCTTCAGCCACATTTCCTTTCTCCCTAACCCTTTCAATGCCATTTTCCACCTGTTTACCAAATGCCCTCAGACTTTTCCACCTGCTTCAGTCACGTGATTCCCCCATGCACATGCTCCTCTCTTTCCTTTTTGCCTCATCTGCCCTGAAATAAATAATCGTCTCATTTCTGCTCATCCCCTGCCAGATCGTCAAAGTTGCCATGTGTTTTGTACCTTGGCTTTCTAGCCTCTGTTTTCTGTTACCTGGAATCTGGAGCTTGTTACCTGCCTGTTTTGGACCACACCAGAGGCAGGATTTGGAGTTAGCGAGGTAACTTCAGGGTTAACTCTGGGTTATCAGTACTACGAAGCTGGTTCTCTTTTTACTGGGATAAATCACCATGGTAACATGCTGAACAGCTAACATGCTCCGGAGCAGGTAATGTTCAGAGTATCGGATCACACCTTCTGACCAATCAGATCACTGAAGAACAAAGCATCCATGGACAAAAGTGTGGGGTCTCAGGTAAAAAAGAGAAGCCTATGTGTTGTTGAATCATTTCATTGTTTCAGGGAACTATTCTACTGGTTTTGTAAGAGAGTTCCTATGAAACACAAAGATTGTTTACAACACTAAACACATGATTTTAGCACCATTTTGACTTCTGCAAAGTTTACTTTAGTCGAGTTGCTGACAGTGTTGCTATTTTTATAGTCTGATTTCATCACTTCTCCTCAAAGACTGACCTCATTAGTCATTAGCTAGGCTACTTTTCCGCCCTTTACTTTGGTACTAGAAACAGTCTAGTGGGTTCCTGGTTTGTACCCAGGGTGGGGGAGCCCTTCTGTTCGGAGTTTGCATGTTCAGGGCAGGTTTTCTCCAGCTTCCTCCCACAGTCCAAAGACATGCAGGTTAGTTGGTGACTCTAAATTGTCCGTAGGTGTGAATGTGAGTGTGTACGGTTGTCTGTCTCTATGTGTCAACCCTGTGATAGTCTGGCGACCTGTCCAGGGTGTTCTCTGCCTCTCACCCAATGTCAGCTGGGATAGGCTCCAGCCCCCCTGCAGCCCCTAACAGGATAAGCAGTTACAGAAAATGAATGAATGAATGAACAGTCTGGCACTACTTTAAAGTGTTTATGTGACATATTTATCATTGTGCAACTAAATTGCAAAAAACAGTCTGTACTGGACACATGGAGCCTCGTGATACCTGCGTGTAATTCAAGTCTTGGCCAGTGGTGTATTTTTGGATAGTATTTTCAATATTTCTACATTTTCCATTGTAAGATTAGAGAGCATTGTTTAAATCCCATGCCACTGACATTTTTCTGTCTCGTAGTCCCAGACACTTTCAGTCCTTTCATCTCATATGATATGAAGCAGCCTACGTCATTCATCGCTCTGATGATTCATTCATTAATTCATTTTCCGTAACTGCTTATCCTCTTGGGGGTCACGGGTGTGCTGGAGCCTATCCCAGCTGACAGTAGGCGAGAGGCTGGGTACACCCTGGACAGGTCACCAGACTATCGCCGGGCTGACATATAAAGACACACGACCATTCACACTCACATTCACACCTGCAGTCAATTTAGAGTTCCCAATTAACCTGCATGTCTTTGGATTGTGTCATTTCATCCTGTCTTTGTCATCAGTCTGTGTTGGTAATTACTTTAAATGTTACCAAATTTGGTTACCAAGGCAAAAGTCCAAAAATCAGAGACAGTCAAGAAAAGAGAAGTGAACCTAAAGAAACGTGACCAACCACATTGTCATGCCAACAGAGTTGGAAATAAATGCAAAAATGTAGACAAAAGGTTTCTTTGTGTCATCTAACTGTATAGGTTTGCCCCAAATAAGACCGATCTTGTTGATGATCATATGACCACAAACATTCCGAAGTGGAATTTCTGGATGAGCGTGATGCTGATGCACAGTGGATACATGCTTGCAAAGCAGTTTAATGCTGCATTAAGTGAACCATGTTGCAATTACCACAAGACAGTGACTGTGGCAGTCCCTCATTTTTGGTGTCTGCTGTCATTTTGCCTTTTTCAGTTCATTTTAGCTGGATGTCAACATTCTCCAGAGTTGACTGGAGGGTAAATGCACAATATGGTGAATGGTGAAAAGTTCTTTGGTGATTAGACCACATCATGACCTGAATATTTAGGGGGTGGAGATGCCATGGGTAGCGTAGGAATATTCACCCCGATGGAGTCTAGACACTGGTGGTGGAGGTGAAAGGAGGGATGGCTGAGGGGTGAGGATGATGGGATGAGGAGTAGGATTGGGCGGTGGATGAGCTGAAGGGGGTTTAGGAGGGTTAGGAGGGTAAACGCAAATGTCGCCGTATCGAGCGCCTGTGTAAGTCTACAAAGCTTCAGGTCCATAGTATTTATTTGAAAGAACTCTTAACAGAGTATAACTCAATGGTTAAAGCTGCTCGGGCCTCTTATTTTGCTGACCTCATTTCCTCCAATAAGCGGAATCCCAAAGTTGTTTTTGACACTATAAATAATCTTGTTTGTTCCCAGCCCCCTGTGGTGCCCATTTTTTCTGTTAATGACTGTAACAACTTTCTGTCATTTTTTGTCAACAAAGTTGCTAGTGTTAGAGCAAGCATTACCCCTTCCTCTGCTCTTCCCCCTGCTCCTCCTTTACAGCAGCCTATACTAGATCGTTTCTCACCCATTTCCCTACAAGATTTAACTAAGCTAGTGAGCAGTATGAAGACCTCCTCCAGCCCGTTAGACATCTTGCCCACGTCTCTACTGAAAAAAGTTATTGGTTCCATCGGCTCTTCCCTGCTCTATATTATTAATTGCTCACTGGTCTCTGGCTGTTTCCCCTCCTATTTTAAACAGGCGGTTGTCCAGCCGCTTCTTAAAAAGCCCAATCTGGACCCTTCATTATTTAGCAACTTTAGGCCCATTTCTAAGTTGCCTTTTATTTCAAA